GAAATCAGGCCGAAATCATTTCAATCCGTCTGTTCATAATATTAGAAAAATTTCATTGTAGCAAATAAATCTACAATTCTAATATAAAATATGTTTTTTTAACATTTCCAGCACATCACTATTTACAAGTATAATTCTAAGTTATTTTGACTTTTTACATTTTAACTTCTTTTACTTACATGTGCAAATTATGGCATAAATTTATACTTATTGAAAATTATATTATATTTCTAATTGAACATAATAAATATAACAGCTTATCATTTATTATAAAAAAAACTTTTTGGTGAGTAACTAATACACTTTTTTTTAAATTAAATTAATTTTTCTAGATTTATATTATTTTAAAATACCTACTTATATATTTTTTTAATGTATGTCGAAGTACAGGAGTATTTAATACCTCTTTCTTTCATTAGATTTTTTTTTTATCTGATTCTCTTTAGACAGACTGACTAACTTGGCTTAAGATTTTAACTTAAATAAAATGAGGTAAACATTGAACATGCAGAATAGCGAACATGGATTAATAAAAATAAAGATTTTTATACTATTATGCATAAGAAAATCAGGAAATTGGGGTAAAAAGGCAAACTGACGGCCATTTTATTGCTCTAACCGTAATAGATTACACTAATAAAGGCCAGTAGCGCGCTCATTGGTCAAAACATTTGCGTGCCTTTACACGGAATAACTCCCACGGATTCAACAGCCAAGTTATTAAAAATAAAAGTGTCAAACTTTTTGGTTGAACATTTTTATTTTTTTACTACAAAAAAGTTCTTAAATATTTTTAATATTCGAAAGAGGTTTGAGTAGGTATTTTAAAATATCGTTTTTTATTGTCATAACCTATAGTGTTGCTACGACTGTTCAGCTTTAATTCAAGCAACGCAATGACTAGGTTGTACATTCTAATATAAACTAATTTATAAAAAAAACTTTTTACAATACTCTTTTGTGCTATAAAATGATATTTAACAATAGATGTATCATTTTTAATCCTGTTTTTCTTCTAAATACAAATTACAGACATAGAAACAATTTATTCCATATGCAAACTCTCTGGAAACTGAAACAATGACTGGACTTCTAAAAAAATGACATTGACGTTTTCCCGCACTTTTTATGTGCAGAATTAAGTGAAAAACGAAAATTATCTATATTCAAATATTTTTTTATCTACAAATGTACATTCCTTTCCTAATATAAACTAGTTTTTTTCTCATAAAAATCAATGAATTTTTATATCGAAATTGTTAACTTTAAAAAAGTATCACCGACTTAAATCCACCTATACCACGATGAATCGTCCCCCCTCCCTAGGGGTAGTACTTTTTCTTTCTAAATTTGTACAGGATTATACAGAAAGTATACACTTCCAAATACATAAAAAAAAAATCAAGTCGGTACAAAAAAAAATCTACCGTATGAGAGCCATGCTTCTGCCAGAAGACCGATGTTAAGCAGTTCTTTTGTTTTTTTCACCGAGTGAGTGACGTCACCGGAGCTTAAACACTCCTGATTATGAGGGCGACCATGCACTTGCGCCCCTTGAGTTGCAGGTATTCATGGGCGGCGGTACTCACCTACCATCAGGTAACCCATTTGCTTATTGAAATATAAGAGGGAAATAAACTTTAACACCGATTGCAACATCAAAAGAATTGCTTAAAACAATGATAGTTTATACATACAAGAGGTAGATACGCCACCAACGTGTATAAAACGCGAGGGTCCTAATTAGGACCACTGCGAGCGAGCGCACGTACTAATGAATTCGAGAAAATTCATAAAATAATTTCTATCGATGTACTGATTACAAATAGCTGTCTCTTTCACTCTTATGCTTTCCCTATTTCCTATTGCACTTGTAGCTAAAATGTATTAACAGATGTATGTTTGGTGTTACGGAACAAATATTTTGTGCATGCAGTATGAATATAACGTATCTACCTTCAAATATCATTGGATAAAATCGGTTTTCTGTAAATGCAGAAACGTGACTCTCCCAGGCAGTCCCAGGGTCAGCAAATGTTGAGCTTACTTAAGGGAATTTGTGACTCCAAGCTTCCAATTTGTCCTTCTAACATTAAACGCTCTTAATCGCTTATTCTAGACGAGTTTTATGCTTATTTGGTGTCATAATATTATTACAATACATAACCTTAAATTATAAATGTCATTTTGTTTTACCATAAATAATACTCCATATATGTACAGTCGTGAATATTAATACGAGACTCACTTGAGTTCAAACGAGTTACAATTGGAAAAGTATTTTTTTATGATATAGGGGACCAAAAAGGAGTCGGGTTACCTGATGGTTAGTGATTACTGCCGGCCATGGCACCTGCCTTTCGGAGTGAGAGTACGCTCTTTTCTTAAAGATTTAAAAGCTATATCGGTCTATACAGGGACAGGAACAGTTAGGTCGTGTTTAAGTGCCAATTATCCAAGTATTGAGGATACAAGTTTTGTTCCGTTAACTGATAGTTACAAATGCGGACTAAAAATGCCACGGCTAAAACAACTCTCCAAATACAAGTACTGTACTTCATAAATGAGTCCCATATTAAAGTTGACGACTGTACATTGTATGACAGAAAGGCGTGGTCAAAAAAATCATGCTAAAGTAGTGCCAAAAAATAATTAATAAACAATAACACTGCAATATATAATATTTTTATCTAGATTTTTTTAAAGCTTACATTTTATTAGGTATTAGGCGCATGTAATGGATGCCATTAAAAGTAAAGACTTCAAAGAAATGTTTGTACGTTCGTATCGCTTGTCACCTTATTGATCAATAAGAAATGGATAGACAAAAAAATATATAAAAAATTTAAAGAAACAGTTTTTTTGCGGAGTTCAATTAAGTTTTTTTTTTGACAGTACATTCGAACACGTATTTCATATGCATGTCTATATTATGTCTGTCGTGTTCGGTATAAAGTTTTTTTTTCATACTATCTCATGATTTCTTAGAAACAATTCAACGTAAAAACTAATCGAATGTCAAAGGTTTTGTCAAACAAATTTTGTTTGAAACGCAATGTCACTGTCACTATGATTAGAGCTGTCTAATTTTTAAAATCAAATCAATCAATCAATCAACTGCAATTTTGAAAAAGCTGTCAACTTGACAGCTGTCAGTTGTTAGATTAGTAAACTGTTTATCGGCACATAACTAGCATTTAATGACCACACCTTTGTGTTATACGTTGAATATTGCTATATTTATTAATACACATAAAACAACGGTTTCAGTATAAATAAAAGTAAAATTTCCTCTTTTATAACAAAAACACACATATTTTGGTTTAAAACGACATATCATGAAGTATAATAAATATTGGTTCAGACACCAGACGGAGCGAACTCCACCCCGCCAGCTGTCTGACACAATCATAAAAGTGTTGATAACTCTTTAACTCTCTATACTCTAATATAGAGAACTACTGAACAAAAAATGCGTTTTTTTTTGTTATAATCTCGAAGAAGGCAATTTTGACATATGACAATGACAAATTAAAAATATTTGTGACTATAATACATGAAGATAACTACCATTTATCGTTTGCAGTAGTTTTAGAAATTTAAAGGTCACAGTAATCTACCATCAATTTTTATTCAGCAGTTGTATTTTTGTCAAGAATTTTGCATATACTTTTTAAGTTAGATCCTAAAAGGATCAATAATACTTATTGTTATATATTAGTTAAGAGTTAAGTTTTTTTTTTAAATAAATAAATAACATTAGAAAGCTTTTGTGAACGGCATTCATATTTATTAAAGATATATGGAACGAAATGATCTTCCTGAAGACAGGAAGGTCTAATACCTGTCCCCCATGCCTTCGGCAGTCTCAGTTTTCTATGAGGCCGTGGTATCACTTCTGTCGAGCCAGCGAATTTGTGCAGGTCTTACCCACATTTCATAAAATACAAATGTCAATACAACCATACATCTTTAATAAATACAAATAATATTAAAAAATGAGTATATTAACGTCATCTAGATGTAGATATAGCTATAGTCCATTCGCTAAATAGGACTAAATTAGTCCCGTGATCGCAAGCGGCATGTCCATATTAATATTTCAATATAACATTCATAAAATTGCACAACCCATACTAAAAACTGCTAAAAATGTACATTTATATATCATTTTTAACATTAACAGAACACTGGCACTCACAAATTAACTTTTTTATTAGACGGTATTCTTACTAAGTCAAATCCTTATGCTATAATGGTACATTTTTCAAAGGTTACTAGTGAAGTTTTACTACCATTAGTAGTCGACTAAAAATATCGTGTTTATTGATCATGTCGATTATGTACTCGTTTAATCGCAGTTAAAACCTTTTAAAATCTTGACCCGCAAGATGCTTTAGTAATAACATGGCTTTACTCAAAACTAAATTTCAGGAAAGTGGGTTTTTTCATCGATTCTTTATATTAGGGAATTTTTGTTAGATTCGATAATAGCTACGATTTCCCAAAAGATATAATTCAGCAAAGCCGTGCATTTTAATGTTACTTTCAATATGAACATACAACAGTTTTGAAGGCCAGTTCTGGTAATAAAAGTACGGTCAAAATTCAGTTCAGATCAACTTTCGATCTTGCAACTATCATAAATGGTATTTTCGTACTAAAATAGTAAAGTATTACTAAGACTAGCAGATTACCTATCTAATTTTCTTTCACAATATGATATAATCACATTACAGTCAACGTCGGATGTTTAATACTTTACCACGACACTACATTTTGTGATATTTGTGAGATCGAAAGTTGATCGGAACTAAATTATGATCGAACTTTTATTACGAAAATTGTCCTTCTGCTTTACTAATAAGCTTTAATAAACATAATTATAATGATTTTCAATAACTTCGCGGTGTTTGATAAATATCAGTTAATGATTAATTAAGTATTTTGCTAAATTTGTATACAAAAGCGTGGGGAATGTCTTACAGAGCAGTTGTACTTCAATAATAATACATCATTCGTGGTTGTCTACCTATTAACGTCATATTTGAACATAATTCTCGATCCCTGAAATGAAGAAAAAGAAATCAGTAAATTTAAGCACACAATGAGAAGGGCTGAGACAATAATTCAAATAATATTTATTTAAGTTTATGCTAAAATTTATTCATCGGTACTTCGATAGGCACACTCTCTCAGTCGACAGTAACATGAATTATGATATAAAAATGGAAGAGGAAATAATAATAATAATAACTTTACACATCTCACACACGGCCGTCTGATCCCAAACTAGGCAGAGCCTGTACTATGGTAATCAGACTGCTGATAAACATACTTATATATTGTTAAATACATACATATTATAGATAAATTACACCCAGACACAGAACAAATGACCGTGCTCATCACACAATATTTGTCCTGGGTGGGAATCGAACCCACGACCTCCGGCTTAGCAGTCAGGGCCACTAACCACTGGACCAAAAGGCCCGTAGTCAAATAAATATCAGTGGGCGTAAATTATTTAAGAAAAAAAAAACAAATAGTCTACAATTTGACTATCTCTGGCTTCGTCGTACACTTCACCCGTTGCATAAAAAGTAGATTGCTTTTTCATTTGAAAAGACAATTTTTAAATTAGACTTTAATGGGGTATACTCAAAATAATTATAAATTTATCCTCAAGATACCATCTTTTTCTAAAAATTATATCAATGTGAATAATACAAACGAAGATTCGCAAAGGAAATTTACTGTATTTTATTTAAAAAAATACAGGGACGTTTGAAAGATACATGTATTTGACATGTCATTTTCCCTCCTCCCGCTGACTCGGGCGGGAGGGACTCCAAGGGCGGCAACGCACTTTGAGTTGCAGGTGTGCTTACCATCGGGATACCCGTCTGCTCGTTTGCCCCTTTATACCATTAAAAACAAACTAATATACACAAGGTACACATACATTTTTTAGTTCCCGTGGCAAGGGGCTGGTCCGTATTAAAATATCGTCCAAACTTATTCTACAGAACGGTTGAAGATGATCATGCTTGCAACGTCAGGCATAATCATCACAGATATATACTAAACCATCGCGAAAGCTACCTTCGCTAGATGTCGCTGTCGATGTGACTCTGTATTCCTCTTAGGCCCGGGGTTCTCTGAATGTCGGTCGCGTGCGAGCGACGACTGACGCGTGTCCGTCGCCGGTGGCGTACGTATGCTATGTATGGAAATTCTCAGCGCTAGGTTCTTAGAAACGTCGTCAGCGGCAGTCGCACGCCCGTCGGTCGGTTTCATATTAATTGTACCATAGCGACGAGCGCACGCCGCGACGTCCTGACTTTAAAATCAGTTTTAATTGTGTAAATCCTGTAAGTCCTCGAAGTTGTTGACGAATATGTCTACCTAGGACAAACGGTCCAATTAGGTAAGTCCAACTTCGAGAAAGAGGTCAATCGTCGAATCCGACTCGGCTGGGGAGCGTTCGGGAAATTACGAAACGTCTTCACGTCCAAAATACCTCAGTGCCTAAAGACGAAATGCTTTAACCAGTGTGTTACCAGTGATGACCTACGGAACTGAGACGTGGTCAGAAAGCTCAGAGTCGCTCAGCGTGCTATGGAAAGGGCTATGCTTGGCGTTTCCCTGCGTGATCGAATCCGCAACGAGGAGATCCGCAGGAGAACAAAGGTGGTCGACATAGCCCAACGGATTAGCGCGCTCAAGTGGCAATGGGCAGGGCACATAGCAAGGAGAACTGACGGCCGATGGGGCAGCAAGGTTCTCCAATGGAGACCACGTACTGGAAAGCGCAGTGTGGGACGACCGCCTACCCGATGGACGGACGACCTGGTAAAGGTTACCGGAAACCGTTGGATGCAGGCCGCAATCAACCGTCCCCGCTGGAAATCATTGGGAGAGGCCTATGTCCAGCAGTGGACAAGCATAGGCTGAGGTATAAATCACGGATTGTTAATTATTTTATAGGAAATAATAGTATCTTGTTCGATGTATCAAACAACAATTTCTGTGGGTCGGTGATTTTATGAATATTGCATTAGTTTTTTCTTTTCTTTGATATCATCAGAAGTTCATTTTGCTCGAGTACAAACACGATTCACGATCACAATCACGAACTACAAGACTAGCGCCCGCGTCCAGAGAACCTCCTCGCACGCGACCGACGGTCACAGAACCGCGGGCCTTAAATACATTAGCATTTAATTAAATTAAACCTTATTCAGTTTGAAATACAATTCAATTTTGCTTACCTAAGATCACCCCACCCGCCGTTTCCTTTGACAAGTTTCTTATTATGTTTGGCGCCGCCAGACGTGACAGTCGCTGTCACTCTAGACGGGTACATATATGCCTTTGCGTTTTGTAGTAGTTTTTGTACTTTTGATATCACTGTGGAGGCGTTGCAATCTGACTTCTTATGGTGGAATCCGCTGAAAAAAATTAGCTTTACGTAAGTTATTAAACGTACAGAGGACTTCTCTTAGCTCTGCTCTTAAAGAAAGAAAGAATGGAAATATCTAAGATTTTTTTTTTGGTGTAATAGGTGGAAAACGAGAGCCCTTGGAGTCAGGAGGAGGGGTGGTATGAGCTCCGGTACCCTCAATTACTCGGGACAAAGACACACTATAATCTACCTATGTGCCTAATTTCATCCAGATCCATTCAGCCGTTTTTGCGTGACAAAGTAACAAACATCAATACCTCCATACAAACTTTCGTCACAATATATTGTATGTATATACAAACAAAATATTGTATCACATGTAAAAATAATAAAGATTGTATCGCAGAAGGCAAAAATACCTAATAACTAGCATCAGGGTGCCTGACGCAACTAAACAGAAGCATATAGGGCCACTAACAGACCTACCCTCACACACACACTTACGCACACACACACACACACACACACCCAAAAACAAGCAAGCATGCACTCGACACACACACGACCACACAGACACAATACTTACCTGACACATACTACAATCATAATAATTGAAACACCAATTACTCCATTGCTCAAAAAATAGGCAACCTATTTCTTAATCATAATATTTTATTGGTTTTATTGAAAACGATATGGTTGAAAGCAAGCACAAACTCAATAACGGCCCGGTCATGTTTATTTGCACATTTCATTCTCTATCTACTTTCATTTCGCCGCCGCCCTTTGGCATTTGGCACTTATGCTATTATGCAAGATCTGATAATTATATATCTTATAATTATTATTAACATATGTTTTAGTTTAACATATGTACATGCATGAAAGTAGTAATGAATACAGGGTTTACTTTTGGTTACTTATCCAAAAAACTGATGTATTTTGTACTTCGTAAAGTAAGTAGCACGGAAGTATGGATTACGACTTAACTATGAACCCTATGATCATCAATTTTGGCATAAACCTATTCAGGAATACAGTAAAAGACATATGACCCTTCATCACCGAATTTCTTGACGTAATAAAAAAACTTAATGTTCACATAACCGGGGTGTTCGTCTAGAGGTTAGTGACCCTGACTGCTAAGCCGGAGGTGGTGGGTTCGATAATTTGTTCTGTGTCTGGGTGTAATTTTACTATAATATGTGTGTATTTAAGATAACGGCCACTGGCAAAGTGGATGGAAAAAGACCACGAGGTCCAAAGCCCGACACGTTGGATTGACCAGATCCGCACTACTCTCGACACCACAGTCCACGATGCTCGATACTCGATAATTTAAAATCTAAAATACTTATATTTTTTTCTTTAATGTAGTATTAATATTTAAACAATGTAGTATCCAAATATGGTAAAAACTGAATATCGATTTTTTTTTCAAATTCTAAGATCATGATGGTTTAGAAATATAAAAGTAAGTATATATAAACGAAGGAAAACTTGACACAAACCCAATACCAACCCGTCTGGCCAGCGTGGTATAGTAGGCCAAAATCTCCTTTCTAAGGAGAGGCCTATGTCCAGCAGTGGACTGTTAAAGGCTTTTGATGTGATGATTAATGAAGTATGTTTATCAGCAGCCCTGTTACCATAGTACAGGCTCTGTCTAGTTTGGGATCAGACGGAAGTGTGTAATATGTGAAAGGTTATTATTATTACTTACCACTCGCCTATGTGAAAAACTCTGGGTCCTTTACATACGATAACTTTGAATTTCTCCCTCTGGGGTCTGTTTTGAGATAAATACAATAACGAATAATCCCAATTATAATCGTCATAGTCACAAAACTTTTCTTTTAACTCCATTATATTGTTCCAAACCGTTCTATTAAAAGCAAAACCCATGTTGTGCATGCTCGAATGCCATGGTGTTATTTCCACCTGCGAAAAAAAATAGTAGTTTTTTTAATTTTGTTAATTGTCACACTGTGTTTTTTTTTATGATGGTAATAATACAGAAGTGTCAAATATTGAAAATTATTAACTATGGAGGGTAGAGGTGAGGAATATTTATATATACTTACGCCTGTTTCCCTGAAAGGATAGGCAGAGACGTTACACATAATACCAACTTTGTATTTGAAAAATTGACAATAAATTATATCTTAAATATACTTTTTATGTTTATTTTTTTATCTTTATTGATTTTGAAAGTCCCCCGCGATACAGGAAATACGCCTAGTGCGAGAGATGACTAAAAAATTATCGATATTGAAACTATTTTTTTTTCAGATTTCAGCTGTACACGAGTAAGCTCCCATACGAGATGATGCTCCTAACCCTACCCTCCAAATTATTAACAGATTTTATAAGAAAATGTTGCCAGTAAAAAATCCTAAAATTCTAAACAGGTATTTCTTAATAATTTATCAAGATTAACTTAAAAATAACTATACTAATATTTACAAGTTTTTTATAGCCTGTCCAGAATATTAAGCTTATTCAATAAAAACATATTGTAATATCAATTATTATATTATTATTCTAAGTAAATCAACAACATTTTAAAACATGTTATTTTCTGGCCAGGCCATATATAGAACTAAGGCATGCTTAAAACAAGCGAGGCTATTAACAAATCTATTTACAAAATATTCAACCAAATCTTATTTACAATAAGTTTATTCATTTCAAAGGAAAATCATAAATCGCATCCTGCTTTTAGATGTTTTTTAAACCTTAATTTTTTAAGGATATTATAAATTCTTGGTGTTTGATATCATGTATATTTATCTTCTTTATACTTGATACGCTTACGGTACGGTACGGTTTTTTTTTTTCTAATATTAAGTTTAATAAACGCCTCAGCAATGATTCGTCCATTTTATACTCCTAATTTTTGGTTTTATTTTTTCTATGATTGTCCATAGAGTTGATAAAAAAATCTTCTAAATTTATTTTGAGGGCTATGTTGCTTACTACATGCAAAATAATATGCAGAAGAATAGTCGTAAATATGCACATAAATATAAAATTATATATATACATATTACTACACATTATCAAAAAAACCTATGATTATTTTAAGCTTTAAAAATGCATAAAGCTGGTATTAGTATGCGGTTTTCGTAGGCAGCATTTGCGTGTTTGTAAAATAAAAACAAAAGTAAAAAGTGTGTGTATATGTGCTCCGACGCACGACTGGAGTTTACTCGTTAAGAACGATTCGGCAGCACACAAGTATACAAGTTATAAACACACATGTGAAAGGTGCGCATGATAGGTTGCGCACAAAAAACGTAACGAGGTCATTCGATCACTAAATTTTACTCTTCATATTTTATTCATACCGGGCGCCTCATCGATTCTTAAGGAGTAAACTTCAAAGAACAAAAGTGAATTGCGTTTAAAATAAAATAATATCATGCTATATTTCCATGATATCTATACTAATATTATAAAGCTGAAGAGTTTGTTTGTTTGTTTGTTTGTTTGTTTGTTTGTTTGAACGCGCTAATCTCAGGAACTACTGGTCCGATTTGAAAAATTCTTTCAGTGTTAGATAGCCCATTTATCGAGGAAGGCTATAGGCTATATATCATCACGCTAAGACCAATAGGAGCGGAGCACCAATGAAGAATGTTTCAAAAACGGAGAAAATTTATTACTATTGAGAGACGCAGACGAAGTTGCGCGGGTCAGCTAGTGTAATATAAACTCGGCAACATCAGACAGTTCTAAGGTACTAAATAGATATCGATCACGTAAATTCCGGCATTTAGTTCAAATATTCTTGTAACGTCGGTCCTGAAGAGGTGTAGACGTGCTAACAGCGTGATAAGTAGACCAAAACCCGCTTTCTAAGCAGAGGCCTAGGTCCAGCAGTGGACTGTTAAAGGCTGTTGATGATGTGCAACATCTGTGCGAGTGATTTAGTGAAAAGGGACGGAAGTGTGGTACAGGGCACCGGGAAAGGGCGCGCTATTTGATTTGACCAACGAGCCCGCGGCGCTAGTTGACCATCAGATTATTTGACTACTCGTGTTTCAAAATTAAATATCTTTACTGTTATTCCTAGCAAAAGAAAACAGATGTAGCATACTAATTAATAAAATATTTAATGTACAACATAATAATAATACAATATATCGCATAATAACACTTTAAAATAGCATGCTATGTTATCATAAATAAAGTCAAGCTAAGCTAAAAATAGCGTGCTAGTGAAAAAAAGAATTTAGTTCCAAAGGCCATTAAACTTCCCATCTCATATTTAAAAGTAGACTTTATACCAAAGCATTAAGGTTCAAACTAGCAATACATGTTTTCTTTTATATACACTCTTGAACTTAGCGCTATTACAACCTTCTGAGTGTGAGTGTACAGGTTCGGATAAAGCTGGAAATTCCAGCTTTGTGGTTCGTTCTTCCTTCGCTGTTCGCTGGCGGCTCGCACTTGCTGTACGTAGTTTAAACTCTGATGTTTCTTCCGCTGTTAATTTAGTTGTTATTATAAGCTTCGTCCGCACTGCGTTTTTTTTCTCAATGCGGAAAACGCATTGCGGATTTTAGTAATCTATCTATTTTATATAGATAGTGTAGCTAAATTTTTATTAAATTAGACGTATGAATGAATGAATTACGTTATGGATCGTTATTTTATTATTCTATTTAATTATATAAAATAAAATAAAACATGACAAAATATAATACACTAGTAAAATTTAACAATTGGTATATAATACAAAACAGAGCACTGTACAAAGATTTATTTATTTTAATTTTCATATGAAAGTAACATGTGAAACTGGCTAATACATTAAAATATACCCCATTTGATGAAAATAAATTAATAAGTATTGTATTGTATAATCGCCCTTAGAAGCACCGGGAGGCTTCTGTGCTCCTAGAAGGAGCATGGTTACCCAACCTCACCTACACGCAAAGGCCTCTACAAATACCAATACCAAAAAAAGATATTTGCTTTTCTTTTAATCCTTATTTTTCAATTCTAGCTCTGAGAACATAAATAGTTTAAATGATCTCAAATTAACGTTTTGTTAACTTAAACATACACATTTTCAGATTTGACGCGATATTTATCAACTTTTCAATAATATGATGAACCTAATCTTTTATATCTTTGTACGTACTCTGTGAATAACTACATTGAAATTTAATTTTAAAAAATCGCATTCAGTGTATAGAATACAAGAGTTATATATTCAAGCGGAAAAAATTCCGCGTGCGGTTTAACCGCAGTGCGTGTTAGGCCTTAAAATTGCAAAAAAATACCAAAACACGAAATTTTTTGCAGCATACTAATTTTTGAAATATTGCTAATTATTTAGTTATTTAGATTATCTTTACATAAATCTCATTTCTTTGGAAGTTTTAACACAAGATGATATAAAAAAAACGAAAGAAAAATGTCAAAATGAGATCTTATTCATAGAAAAAATTGTACAAGATTTTTCTTTATTCCTATTTGCCTTCCTACGACCAATTTTTTTTTAATATATGAAAATTTTACATAAACAACAAAAAAAAATGGCGTGAGTTCCCGCTCAAAATTAGGAGGAGGAGGGGTTAAGCCCCAAGTGCACTCACTCACTCGGTGAAAATGAAATTGTAAGCAATAGCCTACTGCATTTAGGTTTAGAGAATAGTGACGCATCTATCAAGCCCCGCCCCCTGACCAATCAGGTGCCAAGAAATGATCGTTTCGTACGAAAACTTAGCACTTGATTGGTCTCGGTTCGGGGTTGATCGATGCGTCACTATTTTCTTAATGCGAATAGATTATAATACCTTATAAATATTATCCCAAAATTACGCGCATAAACTAACTAAATCTTCAGTTTTTTTTTTTCAGTTTCAAGACTAACAGTTTTGTAGAATTATGTCATAAATTATGGAGTGCAAAGTCGGCTCCTTGGGGGAGGCAGTGGACGGTGATAGGCTGATGATGATGATGATGCAAACGACTTACCTTGTCCCCGTTGACATGGTACTGATAAGTCTTCAGATAAGTCCCGAGAGATAATATCTCACAGTTCGGACAGCTCTTATCAGCTGTTGACTTAAGTAGGTTCAGCATGTGAATAAAATCCTCGGCCACATAGTGGTCTTCTTCGAGGAAGAGCACCATTCCTGGAAAACATCAAACATTTTATTTTACACTACCCGACCTGCGCAGTCTTGTCTGCGTCTCTCAAAGCTCACATATATTTTAGCCCATTATTATTTAAAAATGTTAGTTTTGCGCACTTCTTTAAATTTAAGTATTTCAAGATACATGTTTTTGCGTGCCATATTTTTTTAACAAGGTTTCATCCACAGCCTTTACTAGTCTACTGCTGGATATAGGCGTCTCCTTAGAAAGGAGGTTTTGGCCTACTATATCACGCTGGCCAGACGGGTTGGTATAGGGTTTGTTTCAAGTTTTCCTTCTTTTTGCAGTGCTGTCGTCCTGCATAGTTTGCTCCCTTAGTCGGTTTTTACGACACCCACGGGATGAATAGGGATGGTGACACTCTGTATTCTTAATCCGTCACCACACGAAGTATTAATTGAAACTATTAAAAACTCGAATGCAGAAGGACAATTTAAAAGTAATGCACTACTTCAAATATGTTCATGATATACCATTTTAAAATCCTCATGATAAGCCGTTTAATTTGATACCCATATTGAGGTATCCAAAAAAAAAAAAATTTTTGTGTCACCTATCTAAGAACACTTGGGTTACCAAGACGAATCTAATGATATGTTAATCAAATAAATCCGTGCAGCGGTTTGGAAGATATGAGGTAATAAAGAATATTACATGCATACAAGATACGCGCGAAAAACATAACACTTCCTTAGCAGTCCGGTAAAAAGGCGTACAAAGAATTTTCTTCACGTATCGTTTAGTGTGGCAATTTAAACGGATAAATAGAATTGGATGAAATTTGGTACAGACATAGATTACACTCTGAAATAGGACATATGCTTCTTATAAACTAAAAATCGATATCAAAGAGTGAGGCCGCGAGGTAAAGTTAGTATAAAGGGTATAAGGGACGACGTAACGAATACTAAAATAGTGTATTCAGACCATCATTTTGAGTCGAAATTCGTTTTAATTTTCTGCCAGAAAATTAAACGTATTATACAATCAGCTGTCAAAGGTTAATGTCATTCCCAGTAGGTATCGCACAAAAGTAATAACTACATTTGTATTCCGTGTATAAATTCTACGCACACTAACATAAGTTGGCGGACCGGGCCTGAGGAGTTTGATTAATTACACTGCAGTTTTTGAACGTATGCGGTATTCATTAAATTGTTTGGGGTATAATGATCTGTTTACGCATTGTGATATCATTTTTCAGCAAAAACATGGAAAATTTAACAAAAAATGTTTTTTTGACAGAATATGCCAATGATTTTCGACTCGGAATAATGGATTGAATACATTATTTCAGTATTCGTTACGACATCCCTTACACCCTGTATAGATAATAGGGTAGATTCATAGAAAAAAAAAACTATTTTCTACTAACGGCAGGTATGACGTAACGCTATATTATTTCATACATAAACAAACAGTCCGTGTGGTGACGGATTAAGAATACAGAGTGTACCACCCCTATTCATCCCGTGGGTGTCGTAAGTGCCGACTAAGGGAACAAACTGTACAAAAACCTCCATTGTAAGTAGAGGGCTATGTCCAGCAGTGGACTGCTAAGGGCTGTTGATGATGATGATGATGAAATGTACCTATTATTTTCACCTCTAATAAATAAGTACTGATATGACTTGACAGTCATCTATACAAATAAATAAAATTGGAGTGTCTGTTTGTAATATTAAAATAACCGCTTTTTACTAAATGCATATGTATGTTTACACGGTACATATGCCAAAATATTTTTTTTTACAATTTTTGACTGTCTGTCTGTCTGTCTGTTTGTTCCGGGTAATCTCTGGAACGTATGGACCGATTTCGAGGGGACTTTCACTGGCAGATAGCTGATGACATAAGGAGTAACTTAGGCTACTTTTTTTAGACTAGCTTCACCCCGCGGCGTTGCCCGCGGTTATAACAACAAACGCGGGTAACACCGCGGGTCTCAGCTAGTCTACCATATTCGTAATCTTACCAGTGTGTCCATTTGTACAAGCGAGCTGGTTGAAGATCCTGTTGGCTTTCCACCACCAATGGTGTTTCGTCTGAGCGTATTTGGCTTCTCTATAGTGTCCATGGAGGTCTGGATGTAACGCGTTGTTACACTGCAGCTTCAAAGCCCTGGATTTAGAAAAAAACCTTTTAGTCTATGACTGGGACAGTGGGCTAGTTGGTATTAGTCGTGAGAGAGATAATCTTCTATATGGGGTCGGCTCGACCGAAGTGATTTCACAGTCTAATAGAAAAGACGTACTAAGCAATTTTTTTGTTGAATTTTTTACCGAGTTTGTGTGGTTACCGGAGCTGATTCTCCTAATTAATATTAAATATTTACGGACATCTGACACACAACACCATCTCTTTTCAAACTAAGCAGATATTGTACTACTAAAGCCAGAGTAAGTTATAGAATACTTATATACTTTTTTTTTTTTGAAAATACACACATAGTTTTACAACATACATTACACCCAAATATTTGCAGATCATACAAAAATTTGGTCCGACCCGGGTATCGAACCCGAAAATTCTGGGGGGCAAGGCGAACTGTGTAACTTGAGTTGCAGATTTCCAGGGATCATACCATCAGCTCACCCGTCTTTACATTTGACCCCAATACCGTTAAAAATAGTTTTAGTTTACAGCCGACGAGCGAATGCCGTCTTTTGAATGCCTCTAGAGTTAATCTTCCCCCCTGGTGGGTTTCCAGTAACCTCAGTCACTCGGTGAAAAGCTCCGATCCAGGAATAAGAAGTGTCACCAGTCACCACTCCATTCGTGGGTATCGTAAGAGCCAACTAAATGAGCGAACTACGTAGGACAATAGCACTGCAAAATGAAAACTGGACACAAACCCTATACCAACCCATCTGGCCAGCGTGGTATCATCATCAATCATCATCGACAGCCTTTAATAGTCCACTGCTGGACATAGTCATCTCCTTAGAAAGGAGGTTTTGGCCTACTATACCACGCTGGACACCCGTCTGGCCGTGCTGTTGTCTTGCAGAGTTTGCAGGGTGGTATAGCAGGCCAAAACCTCTTTCTAAGGAGATGACTATGTCCAGCAGTGGACTACTGAAGGCTGTTGACGATAGCTCTAATGTCAGAGAAAATAAGACAGAAAATACTTACTGCTCCTTTTTTGCGTCTCTTGGACAATCATTGGGATCCATTCCAGGAAACTCATTTGGGTGTGTTTGTATTGAGTAAGGGTAGAATATCTGCATAACCTGGAATAGAGAAAAATTGAGATAAAATTACCTGCCGTGACTGAATGATTCATCAATGCAGAGAAACGACTGGGTCTACAAACTCAACTGAACATTGGGTAGCTGATACTTTTTCACCGACTTCAAATCAATTCGGATGTTTATATATTTTTTAATTTGTTTTCGGGCATAAATTCGTCATATATAAACGGATTTTCAAAATATTTTTTTTATTCCAAATAGGATTATTCCAAAATGGTCCCATTCAAATTTAATATAGATCTGATGATGAGTTTCGGAGACAGACAAAGGAACTCTTCAAAAAATTACAGCAAATCAACCGCCATTGCTGCTAGGTTTTAGTGCTCTTTGTTAGTATTGTTTGAAGTCGGTTCAACTTTTTAGAAAAAGGATTTATCTTGTTATGTTGTAAGCACCCACTAAGAAAGGATTTTTGGAAATTTCACCCCTAAGGGATGAGGATGTATGGAAGTTCGTCATTTTCAAAATTAGAAAGAGTTTCCCCCTACTTTTCTACAACATCCTGTAACTTCTTCGTCTCTTACCTTGGTAAAGTCGATGGTCCGTACAAGATTGTTGATCTCTTCATCGAAGTAATCGTGGGAGAAGACCAGGAGAGTCCTATCTATGTCCCGAGCTTGCGCAAGTGACACTATCAAGTGACGGAGGTAAGTTAATCTCGTGTGGACCTGAAATCAGAAGAAGAATATCATTAGTAGACCGTGGGAGAGCAAAGCTGACTTGACCAGTGTGATACCATGGCTTCACAGAAAATGTCCACAAACCGTTTTACATTTAAAAAAAAAGTAATTGTCTGGTGATGATTTGGTATGTGTTCAGAAAGCCAGTTCTCGTAATAAAAGGTCAAATTTTAATTCTGATCAACTCTTTATCGTACAAATACCATAAAAATTGGTTGCCTGTAAAGTCGGTATACGGGCGAAAGTTTTACGTGACAACGACTTTGAGTGGTAAAATAATTTTAATGTGAATATTCATTCGTATAGTAGGAAGAAGGATGAAATAATAGTAACAATTTAAAACATTTATTTATACAAAGAATTATATTTAAAACATTAATTTATGTCTGTCTCTCTCGCTCTTAGGCGGGCTAACCATGCCCGAGTGGAAGGGACGCGTGCCTCTCACTCGCTCTCATTGTGAGCGCATAACGTGAGCGGAGCGTAACGCAGTTTCTTGAAGTGTCACCCGGCAAACCAATTTATAAGACGTTGTCACGTCAATAATGTACACATAACTACCTTCTTGAGTTGGCGTATAGTATATGGTTTTATATTTTTAAGTTTTTAGATTCAGTTGACAGGCCTGTTGGTCTAGTGGTTAGTGACACTGACTGCTAAGCCGGAGGTCGTCGGGTTCGATTCCCACCCAGGACAAATATTTGTTTGATGAGCACGATCATTTGTTCTGTGTCTGGGTGTAAATCTATAATATGTATGTATTAAGAACTATGTAAGTATGTTTATCAGCAGTCTGGTTACCATAGCACAGGCTCTGCCTAGTTGGGGATCAGACGGCCGTGTGTGAGATGTGTGAGGTTATTATTATATTATGTATATTTATGCATGTATGTATGTAGGAATATTTACCCAAAGAAAGTCCGTTTTAACTATTATTCTGTATTTTTCTTTCACAAATCAACACACGTCATACACATGACATAAATCTCTCTCTGCTCTTTGATATATCTTAGTGTTGCTACCAAATCACAGACAAAATAAACCAAAACAATCGATTATCAATAACATAATAACATCATTCCCACACGGCTATCCTGCTACTCATCTGCCTCAGATGAGTCGGTAGAATTATCACATGAACTCCATGGCTTCATCATATCGGCGGAACTAGATGTGTTTATCGGTCCCTCGCCTGAACCAATTTTCTTCAGATCATATCGATCGTTTCTTTTTTTCTTCACAATTTCGTATGGGCCGAGATATTTGGGATACAGTTTATAGCCCTGAACGAACTGTGTTCTTTTGATGGCCACAAGATCTCCAACTTGGTACTCTCTTGCTTCTTTGCGTTTTCGATTATAGCCTTTTCTATTCTCTTCTTGAATACTCTGAATATTTTCTTTAGCATTCTTGCGTAACTCTTCTCTTTGTTCATTAAAATTCTCTATATTTTCTTCTTCTATCAACTTTAGAATCTCGTCATTTCTATCTCTCATCTTTGTTCCAGTCAAGAGTTCGAAAGGTGTAGTCTTTACACTCCGTTGGTATGTGTTGTTAAGGCATCTTTGAACTTCGTTTACATGCTTATACCACTTAGTAGGATCTTCAGAGCTCATTTTACTTAATACGTTGATTATGGTTTGGTGCACTCTCTCTACTTGTCCGTTACCTCTAGGTTGCCCAGTAGTGATTGTGTGATGAGCAATCCCTTCTGTATCACAATATTCTTTAAATGCATTAGAGGTAAATGAGGCATTTCGGTCACTAATTATTCTTTCTGGTGATCCGAAAGTTTTCTGTTGCAGCTTTAATTTGTCTAACACTTCTTCGGTAGACAGGCTCTTTGTTGGGTAAATCCATGTGAACTTTGTAAAGCCATCTACGACAGTAAACAAATACTTGTAATGCTTGTTAGTGGACGTCAACGGACCTAAGTGGTCGATATGGTAAGTAGACAAAGGTCTATCTCCTTTATCAATACAGTTTAGAAATCCTTCTTTCTTTCCTTTTTTATGAGATACTAGTATGCATTTGACACAGTTTTCTATTACAGACTTTATCTTTTCTTTTAAATTCTCAGCATAATATTCTCTTTCTATAAGTTCTTCTGTTTTAATAACTCCGAAATGACCTTTTTCATGATATTTTCTGATTATCTCATTTTGCATCTTTTTTGGCAACACTAGTAATTTTCTTCCTTCTTTTATTTTTAATAAAACTCCATTTTCTACAATAAAGTCTTCGTATGCTTCTTTTTCTAAAACCTTTTTTATTAATTTTATTTTCAGGTCTTCATCTTGTGCTTTCTTCAGTCGTGCAATGGTGTCAGTGAGTAACACTACGTTTTTTACAGGATGTCTACTCAACGCATCTACGTGTTTTAGATGATCTATCTGATCTTCTATCAAAGGCAGTGAGAATCTTTCTTTAATAGTCTTCTTGTTAAGTCTTCTGTAATCAACACACAATCTGTACTTCCCATTCTTTTTCTTAGCCAAGACAATCGGGCTTGCGAAATCTGATTTGCTTGGTTTTATAATGCCTTGTTCTCCCCATTCTTTAATTTGTTTGTTGACAACATCCAGCTCGAGAGGTGATAAACGTCGTGGGTTTTGATATATCGGGGAATCATCGGATAAAATAATTTTTAGTTGCACATTAGATTTTCTTGTAACATTCTGGGGATTATAGTCTTTAATCATCGTTTCGATAATACTCTTAAATTCTTGTGTACCAATATTATAGGTTTCATCGTCATCTTCTAAAGTTGTTAAGTGCAAAACCCTCTTAGCTGTTATCCCATCAGCAGAAAAGTGAACGTCGACTTCCTCCAATATCCGATTTCCAATAATGATATCTACTGGTATGTCATTATCATTAACTATGTGGAAGGTAGTGTCAAAATAACAATCATCCATCTTAATTTTCGCTATAAAAGAGCCTTTAGTACGTATTTCGTGCTCGGCTATTCCTGTTAGGCACAATACAGCATGCGGATTATAGTTGTACCTCTTTCCATTAACCTTGTTGAACTGGCATTCTTTGACCAAACTCACATCGCTTCCTGTATCAATTAGGACTTTGGATTCAACCCCATTTATTGTCAACTTCTTATAAGGTGACTTGCAATGTTCGTTATCCTTCGTTTGAATTTTCATAGTCTTCTTTTGGTTGGTTGGGCACTCGTTTGATTTATGCCCGTAATTGTTGCATTTAAAACACTTAATGCCCTTCGTACATCTTGGTGCTTGGTGGTCTGTTTCACCACAATTGTAGCATCTTGTTTTCATTACATGTTTTTTATTCGCCTGTGAAGTACTCTGATACGGTTGTTTCGTGTTATTATCATACCTCGTAGTTGTAATCTTCTTTCTCATTTGAGCGTACAGATCCAGCTTCTTCCGGAAATCTTTTATATTTTCAGCTCCATACAAAATAGCTTTATTGCATTCTGCATCGCGTATCCCGTCGATCATGTATTCAATCAACGCTTCGTCTTCAATTTTACCAAGCAACGCCAATTCTTTCATATTTAGAAAGTACTGTTGGTAAGTCTCATCATTTCTCATTTTACGTGTAGCTAATTTTTTGTGGATGGCAGCACTATTCAATTTTGAGCCGAATTCTTCTTTTAATGCAGTCTTTAGTTCTAGCCATGTCTTTGGACTACTTAGTGTTCTTAGAAAAAGCTTTGCAGTTCCAGTCAGCAAGCGCTTGGCGTAGATTAATTTTTGTATCTCACCCCATTCCATCAGCTTGGCGATATCGTCAAAATCATTAATAAAGGTTTCAATTGAGTAATTGTTGTCTCCACTAAAAGCAGACATAGACTTCTCCACGTCGCTGAACGAGAGTTCAGGTGTAGTCTCTTCCTTTTCTTTCTTTGGCGGCATCTTCTTTAAAATAAATCTTCAGTCTTTAAGATAGTCTTTAAAATATTCTCTGGTCTAAGAATAGGAACGTCTTCATATAAAGTAACAGTCTTCAAAATATCAAATCATAACATAACTTCTTCAGTTTACATCTTACTTCTTTAATCGATATAAAAATCGATTCATTCGTAACTTTATGAGAAACTCATTCTTCATATGACAACCCTATTAAGACAGGTGTGAAGTTCGTCTGTAACTCCGTCGGTAAAACAGTAGTTGTAGTACGACAATGACGTCTTTTCAATCCTTGTTTAGCTCTGTCGGTAAAACAGTAGGTACCTGTACAGTAATGGCGTCTTCTCTCGAAGATTTCCTCACTCACGAAAAATTTTGAAATCTTCTCAGTCTTCACGAATAATTAAAACTTCATATTTCTTCGGTATCCCGGACGAGCCCCCATATTTTGTAGGAATATTTACCCAAAGAAAGTCCGTTTTAACTATTATTCTGTATTTTTCTTTCACAAATCAACACACGTCATACACATGACATAAATCTCTCTCTGCTCTTTGATATATCTTAGTGTTGCTACCAAATCACAGACAAAATAAACCAAAACAATCGATTATCAATAACATAATAACATCATTCCCACATGTATGTACTAGCTTACAATACATTATTATTCCTTATGAATTAAATAGGTTGTACATTTAATGTAGTTTAAAATTGCTCTGTACAGCATTTAATTAAAATGAATATTTTAGAAGATATTAGAGGCTTCGGGCCACACTCCGTCGCGGGTGGCAGCGGCCGCCAAGATCGGAGCGGGCCTATAAATATTGCATATAAAGATGTCCTGTAGTATAGTTCTATCCTAATAATAGTATAATTAATTATTGATGAAGATGCCACATTAGTAGTATTAGTAGTATCTACATTGCACCCGTGCGAAGCCGGGGCGGATCGCTAGTTAATTCTTAAAGCTGAAGAGTTTCTTTGTTTGGTGGAACGCGCCAATCTCAGGAACTACTGGTGCAAATTGAAAAAATCTTTTAGTGTTGGATAGACAATTTATCTAGGAGACTGTATGGCATCAAGTTACTACCAAAAGGAGACGAGCATCAATGAAAAATGATGTAAAAACGGGGAAATTTGCTCCTTTCCGAGACGCAGTAAAGTTGCGCGGGTGATCTTCTTTGAAAAATGTGAATGTTTACATTAAATTATTCTATAAGTAAAATGCTGAATTTCCGCATGATCATTCTATATTCTAATTGATAATGATGATGTCCTGCCAGACGTATCCGTCGACGGCGACACCCTGTCACCTTTCAACAGCTCCGTTTACGCTCATGCGCCCGTACGTGACTCGCAAAACTGAATTTGGTTATGAATACACGGTCACATGAGGCACAGTGAAGCTCAACACGCGTATTGTAAGTGTAGTTCTAGGAGGGCTTAGGACGAGTTTTTCGAATGTGGCGTTTGGCGTCAAGGTCTTCAAGACGGCTTCGTTCACAATTTTGAATGCCCCTGATGGACAGCTTTCCGCCTGGACAGCTTCCATATTCTAATTAAAAAGGTTCCGACTACAGAAATACAAATATTAACACTTTGGCCTCAGAAGATAAACATTTAAAAATATAACTGTCAAAAATAAAAACGTCAAATTGACAATTTAAAGTTTATCAAGAACTGACCAAAGTTTGTTCTTAAATGTTAATTGTTTTTATATAATAAGCTATCATAATTTATAATGGATGGGGATGAAGAACCCGAGGAGAAACCAAAAGCTGTATTTATACCTATTTATATTCTTCTTCTTATAGATATATATTTAGTGGTTCCTTTGCTGGGCCTCTTCTCCTTCTTCTCAACAGCATTTAGTGGACTATCCACTGCTGGACATAGGCCTCTCCTTAGAAAGGAAGTTTCGGACAACTATATCACGCTGGCCTGAGGGGTTGGTATATGGTTTGTTTCAAATTTTCCTTCTATTTGCAGTGCTGTTGTCCCGCGTAGTTTGTTTCCTTCGGCTCTTACGACACCTTCGAGATGAACAGGGGTGGTGACACTCCGTATTTTTAATCCATTGAGAGTTATTTCATTTCCAGCAAGTAGTCGTGGAAGCGCCAATAAAATTAAAGAAACCGATAGAGGTGAAGTTCCCCAAGCGAGTACCATCAGTAGTGATACCGAAAAGAGTCCCAGTTTACATAACACCGGACAAGACGACCTGCGTGGAGTGTCCATGTTTTCCCAAAGAATCACCTTACATGAAACCACCGTAAGAATAATGATAACTTGACATATAAAACTAAGCAGAGCCTGTGCTATGATGAACAGACTGCTGATAAACATACTTATATATAACTGGATACATACATATTACAGAATATTTACATTTTGGTCCTGGGTGAGTTCGAAACCACGACCGATGACTCTGCGGTCAGAATCGCTAACAGGCTCGTCAATATTTTGACAATTAAGATTTAAACATTTCGTGTCACTGTGTTTGTGGTCGCACTCCCCCGAAACGGCTCGACCGATTTTAATGTTTTTTTTTGTATGTTTGGTAGGTATAAGAATAGGTCGTTAATATTTTTCCCCTTCTACCTGGGCCTCATTTATTATGTACAAATGAACATATTATATTTTATGGTAGAACGTTCGCCGGATCAACTAGTCCATACTATTATTATAAATGCGAAAGTGTGTCTATCCGTCTGTCTATTACCTCTTCACGCTTAAACCGCTGAACCGATTCAGATGAAATATGTATAATACTAGCTTTTGCCTGGCGACTCCGCCCGCGTGTATGTCGATTATCGCGGTAAAAGTAGCATATGTTACTCTCTGATAATGTATCTTTCAATTGGTGAAAGAATGTTTAAAATCGGTTTAGTGGTTTAGGCGTGAAAGCGTTAACAAACAAACTAACTTTCACGTTTATAATAATATAAGTATGGATGTAACTCCTCTTAATCTGCTGAAATTATTAAAAAAAAAATGTGATTCAACGGTCCTGTATTGATGGCACCGTGTGGTACCGCCACCAGGATTCATTCATTTCATTTTAATATAAAATTTTACTTTCGCCTTAAGGAGTCTTGATGGGTTAAATTCTCCATTTTTTTTTTTTTTTTTTATATCTCATACACTCACACACGGCCGTCTGATCCCAAACTAGGCAGAGCCTGTACTATGGTAACCAGACCGCTGATAAACATACTTATATATTTCTAAATACATACATACATATTATTGATAAATTAGCTGACCCGCGCAACTTCGTCTGCGTCTCTCAATAGTAATAATTTTTCTTCGTTTTTGAAACATTCTTCATTGGTGCTCCGCTCCTATTGGTCTTAGCGTGATGATATATAGCCTATAGCCTTCATCGATAAATGGGCTATCTAACATTGAAAGAATTTTTCAAATCGGACCAGTAGTTCCTGAGATTAGCGCGTTCAAACAAACAAACAAACTCTTCAGCTTTATAATATTAGTATAGATTACACCCAGACACAGAACAAATGACCGTGCTCATCACACAATTTTTGTCCTGGGTGGGAATCGAACCCACGACCTCCGGTTTAGCAGTCAGGGTCACTAACCACTAGACCAACAGGCCCGTCATTGGCTGCGGCAGATGGCGCTTGTAACTGGATCGTTCGATTCTTATTTAATTTCTTACTGAAGTTTAATTTGTTTTGACTGTTTCTCTGGCTGGTTTAGATTCGAGATTGGACCCGTTAGATGGCGTTGAATTTGTAACAATTTTAGTATTTTGACGAACAACGAATGTAACCTTAATTATTTATCTTCTAGGAAAATTAGAGAATGCCAGCTAAGCCCACTGACTCTTTATGAATATGCCGCTTTGGTGGTTGACTCACTACCCCTGCCAGAAGCTTTCAAATGGTCAGAGGCAGACGTAGCGAAGTGGATGGAAGAAGTTGTTGGATTGCCACAGTACACGGTACAGCATATTTACCTATTACATGACCGTTATTAGATTATAACTCAATAATATCTATTTAGATGCTCCGAAGATCATGAAATCTCTTCTGATCTGTAGTTATTTTAGTATCGGGTTTAATAAAAAAATGTAATATAGATTACTTTCAAATAATAATAATTTAAGATAAGATTAATATTTATAATAATTTAAAGTTGGCAAACATAGTGTAGGACGCCCAAAGGCCAGGTGGAGTGACGATTAGCGCAAGATGGCTGGAAGGGGCTGGGTGGGAGCAGCCAAGGATCGATTTAAGTAGCTTGGAGAGGCCTATGTCCAGCAGTGGACTGCGATAGGCTGATGATGATAATGCTGATGCAATTTCGCTCTCGATTTTACCTTTGACAAGTTTTATACAAAAATTTTATATTATTTTGTCAAAATACACATAAATTGTAGTCGTAGTAGTGTGTAAGTAGTAGTGTAGTGCAGTAATTAGTTGGATGGATCGGTTTAAATATTACATTTATTTACAGGACTGCATATTTAACAATCGTATAAATGGAAGGAGACTCCTGTTGCTGGAAGATATGAAATTACTGAGTATGGATGTACAGATTTTTGAACATATGAAGGTATGTCCAAAACCAGTCCTGGGCCTCAATTCTGCTATTTTATGTTCACGCCAAGCCACTGTCATACCACTGACACGCTATTCGAGTGGCCATTGGCATCGGTATAAATATCGGTAGTCTACACTAACTCAAGTGTCTTTACAATGGCGATGGAATGGCAATGGCTCATCAGTGGTCATATCAAAAAGATTGCCATCACTTGATGACAAGTAAGAGGCATATCACCACCGAAAGCATGGCTCTTTTATGGTTAATACCATTGTGATGTTTACGTTATCCATCTAGGAGAAATAATAGTTTGATGCCAGCTCAGATGAACCGATTTTAATATAGCTACTTTTTTTACTTAAAAGTGACTTGATCAATAATATCACTCAATAAAATCTGTTGAGGTGTTGTGAGATCATCATCTCCTTTCATCAAAGCACCATATTTCCAGATAATAGTTACAGCAATACACAAGTTATATTCGACAGAGTTCGTCAAGTTCTGTCGAAGCATAGGCCTGCCTCCAAGGAAACCTTTAACTCATTGTACGTGGTTCAAGTCCAGAACTGGACCGTCTTGGGGTATCAGAAAAAATTGGACCAGGTGCGTACGTTACTCACATATACTCATAACGATCCAGAATACCCGAAAAATAAGCAAAGAATCTAAAAGCTGTTTCCAGAATCTTTGGCCAAAATTTACTCTATATTGCAAATGTAATTAAAAATATATATTTGGAGATTTTGTTATTTTAATATGGTTTATGGAGCAAAAGAGCAGATGGGTCACCTGATGGTAAGTGACTACCGCCTCCCAGGGACACCTGCAACTTGAGAGTCGCAAATGCATTACCGCTCTTTGAGTCCCCAAACCAGAATGAGGAGCGGAGGTTTGGACTCTGTAACCTCAATTACTGGGCGAAAATCAACAAAAGAACTGCTTAACACCAGTTATTTTAGAGGCCGTAGTTTTACCCCCGATGGTGCCTTTCTATATGCGAATCAAGGCACGATATTATCATCAGGGATTGATTAATTTAAGCAATCCCTGATGATAATCCCTGCAATCTCTGGGGGGGTAATTACCCCCCCTCCCCCAAACACGAAAGCATTGGTAATGATGAAATTAACTTCACAATTTAGATGTGACATTTTGCGTTGGATGAAGATCTTGGATCCAGAGCCAGTGAGAAGAGATCACTGGGAGCTAGTTTGGTATGTATTTTAATTAATGTTTAGGAATAGAGTTTTGATCCATATTCCTAAGGGAAGAAACTTTGTAATAATGAATCACAATGCCTATCGTTATTTGACTGGCATATTGATCTTATGGCTAGCGATCCTCAATGCTAAGCCAGAGGTCGTGGGTTCGATTCCGACCCAGAACAAATATTTGTGTGATGAGCCTGGCCATTTCTTGTGTCTGGGTGCAATTTATCTATATCTGAATACGAATAAAACTAGACTTGCTACCCATTTTTTGTAATATGTAAAAGATAAAAATGTTTACCGTGTGTTGTTACCCTTAGGAAATAGCCATAAAGCATCGTGAGATCTTTTTACGATATACAATTCTGTAGTACATTATTTTGGTCTATCTCGTAAAGTTTAGCCAGCATTTGCAAAGTAAGCGCACAAAACCAGGTTTTTACGACATATATACTATATCTACTATGTATACATCTATATGCGCCTACAACTTACGATTTCGAAACTACCTAAAGTTTAACTGGCAGAAAATGCATTAAGTCCGCCGATGTACAAAAGTACATAAAGTTATAAATAAATACAAGCATATATTATACATATAAGCCTTCCTCTTAAATCACTATCTCTATTGGTGAAAACCGCATTAAAATCCGTTGCGTAGTTAGAAAGATCTAAGCGTACAGGAACAAAAAGCGTCTTCATTTTATACCATGTAAGGATATTTATGTATTTAGTCATGTATAATAAGTATGGGAGCTATATGTTTGCCCCTGTTATGTTATTCGGGCTAATATTATAGAAAGCAAAATGAGGTCGTTTAAAGGTCGTAACTCATTAGAGCCACCCGACACCCGACCAGCACCGCCTCGCCTCGGGCTATTAATATTCTCTATCTCCATATAGAGAATACTAACCGCTATAGGTATACGCTACATCTACTCCGCGCGCTGTCCACAAGTGGGTCATACGCGAGGACGATGCATCGGCGGCACACCGCTCCCCCTCGAATGTACCGTTTTCTGGTTAACAACGTGGCATCCACCCGTGGACCACCCCCCTCGACAACGAGTGGACACCGAGTGTCGAGGTGGTGCTGGTCGGGTGTCGGGTGCCTTGCCTGCCTTGCCTCACATAAACAAGCAAATTTTTAAAATACAAAAACCGACCGTAAAAATTTAGAAACCAGCGATTTAAAGAACAATGGCAGAAACATATTTACCTAAAACTTAAGCGTTTAAAAAATCGAGTCACAGTAAACTTAATCAATATTTTTTCTATGATTTATCATTACACCACCATGTGTTGTATAAGTCTTATAAGAGATAAGATATTTTTGAAGATTTTATTTGACCTAAGTACGTAATGTCAGATTCGCCATCACGTATAACTGACTAGGGATGCGTGGTGGCAATATTATACTATGGAACATTTTATCGATAATCGGTTCTTATAGCTTTGGCTGAAATATTTACTTCTGCCCTCGTCTTCACTCGTACGGTAGAGTGACTGAATCAACATAATTAGAAATGATTTAAAATATTTTTGACTCTCTTTAAACGATTTTAAACACACTAAACAAATATAATATAGTTATGTTATTTTCCACTACACAGTGTGATGAGAAAAATACATTGTCATTGATAACGGCACATAAATAGACATACGTCGATATTTTCAAAATGTCGATACGTCGTCGTTTAGATCCTGTCATGTTCCGGACTCACCACGTTTGTTATTTTATTTTTGTTTAATTTAGTGTTAAACTCGAATAGATGTTATGCTTTTATTTTTTTTATTTCATATACTGAAATAATAATGAAAAAAATATTTTCGGCTATCTGACACACAACGCCATCTAGTTTCAAACAAAACATTAACAATATGTTAGTACTTAACCTCGAAATATTCAAAATCCAATATCTTTTTTCCTAGACTTCTTTCGCAAGTAATTTTGATATGAGAATGGTCAAGAATAAATTCTCAAGTGTTAAGGATTTTTTGATATTTAAACGCTAACATTTCAGTTCAAATAAAATTATGTATGGGGACCTGCCATTGTCCTTTTTATAATTTTCATATACCCAATGTCACTCACAATTAAATTTTGAAAAAATTAAAATACATCAAGCCGTTTCTACAGAGCGTGCCAAGGAAATGTATATACACTCCAGAAACATCAAACGCAACCATCCTTCTGACGCAGTCGGATAAAAATAGAAACTGTAGGGACACAACGTATCTCTAAAGTCGTAAAAACCATACCCTAAAGAAACTATAAAATTGAAGACGCTATAACCTTTATTTGCCTTGCTTTCAGGTATCAAAAACCAGATTTCCCAAAAACAATGTTCGCCAGGATACCGCCAGCGGCGCCACGAGAAAAAATACCACATTACACAAGTCCCCCACCAAGTCCACCCTGTCCTGAGTATAAGGTATTTTTTTTAATAGCTTCATTCACTTCACGATAACGGGATACTCTAAATTCGAGTTCTGAAGACACAAGGTGTGAAGTGGTGTTAAGCCTGAGACTATCCGGGTATGACCGAGCAAGTCACTTTAATAAAGTGACTATGATAAATGATTTCTAAAGGGCAAACTCCGTCAAATATGAGTAAACCTTTCTGTAATATCCTGATGTTATGGTCATGATATTTGTGAATGTATAATACACATACAACTAACTCTATACATTTTCGTCGACAATGGTTCAGGTCAGAATAATTCAATACAAAAAAGAAAATTGGTAATTTAAATTTCTAAGAAATGTACGTCCGTGAAGTACATTTCTTAGAAATTGAAATTCTAATTTTCAAGAAATTTAAAATCGAATCTACTCAAATTCACTACACCCGATAACCATTCTTTAGTGAAATACAACTCACAAATGCATCTAAAAATTTCAGATTCCCAGGAAATATATAATAGATCCCTTATCGGGAGAAAGACAATATATTTGGGCTGAACCTATTGTTACTATTACATCCAAAAAACGTCAAGCACAAGACGATATAGAATTATTCAAAAGAGAATTGGGTCTAGAAGAACATCAAACGCCAACGAAAAGAGTGCCGACTCCGGAAAAAAGTAAGAAGAAGGTCTGGACGGCGAAAGACTCCAGATTAGTGCCAAAAAAGATTTGTCTAGAGGGACTTACCGGTAAAGACTTAATCCTCACTAGGCGACTCATGCCGAAACCAAAGTTTATGAAAGGATGAGCCTGTGTGGAACAGACAAAGCTAAAAATTGACATACGATAGATTTAATATAATACTTTAATCAATCATTAAGTAAAAAATCTACCAATTGGCAACACTACAATAGAGTTTTTATGCTGACTTGGGTTCCGAAAATTGTTTTCAGATTAGGCACAATTTTTACCTGGATGATATTTTAATTTATTCCAGCTTCTTTTAAGATCATTACATAATTTTAAATAGTTGCTATCACGATGGGTATTGGAACCAACACATCCATACTATTTATCTCATAAGCCATATCATAATATAAACACCAGTGCGCTGTCACGTTCATCTTGTTTCTATGTTCCAATTCGACGTCACACGTGTCCAACATTGATCATCATCGAATGCAGTTTATGCGGGCTTGAATATATTAGTGAGTCATCAATATAGACGCATGGGAACTTGTGCGAACTCTGTGTGCTACCTTTAGTGTTAATGCAAGAGCGAATCGCAATGAAAGGAGAATCTGGATAATCTTTTAACTTTATTTTCTCGAACACTTATGATGAGCATGTAAACTACTCGAAGTTTTGCTTGTATGCATGCACAAGGTTCCTCGGGCGTAAAAGAAAATGAACATGATAGTTTACTTGTGTAGACGTACCTAATACATCATCTTCATGTAGGTTTTAGTGTAGTTTTTATTTTTAAGTCTTTATTCTTTTAGACATATACTAGGTTTCTGAGACGAATGTTTTTAAATAATGCAATTTATTCAAAGTGAGTTCTGACTAATATTTACTTCGTTTGTTTAGTTAGTGTTTTAATATAAGGATTATTAATGTATTTCTTGTTTTCTTTCTGTAGCTTAGGTTTAAGTTTCAGAATTATAAGCAGCAGTACAGTTACAAAATTGTCGAATAACATTAACAGTTTCATGTAGGGATCGATTTATTGATACAATCTTTCGTAGCATATATATATACAAGGTGTAAGGGACATCGTACCGAATACTGAAATAGTGTATTCAGACCATGATTCTGATTCGAAAATCATTGAAATTTTCTGCCGGAAAATTCAATTTTTTTTTTTCAATTTTCCATTTTACTGGTTAAAAATTATAACAAATGATATCACATGAGTAGACAGAACATTTTAACGAAAACAATTTAATAAATACCAGAAAACTGCAATGTAATTAATTAAACAGCCGAAGCGCGCGGTGCCTCCCCTCTGGCCGCTATTTTGTGTTAGTGTGCGTAGACTGTTTGCATGGAATGTACATGTAGTAATTACTTTTGTGCGATACCTTCGGGGAATAACCTTACCCTTTGACAGCAGATTGCATGAAAAGTTTAATTTTCCGGCAGAAAATTCTAATGATTTTCGACTCAGAATGATGGTCTGAATACACTATTTCAGTATTCGTTGCGACGTTCCTTACACCGTGTCTATATATATATTTATCTATAGTATATGGACCACATACCTGTATGGCAATAATAATAGTGTCATTTGTCACTGGACCGAATATATCTTCATTATATATGGTTTGGGCGTCGTTGTATCTTCGTATTGCACTCTTTATTTCTGTCAGATTCTTCGCATATATTTTCTCTGTTGAATTAGCTGGAATAGAAAAAAGTATACACTTTAATGATAATAATAACTTGACATTCCATCTCGAAAATTACCACGGTATCTGTTATATTGATGAAAATCATCAGGAAATATGATATTCACGTTAGTCTATACAAATAAATAAAATTTAAGTGTCTGTTTGTAATGTCAAAAAAAAGGTTGTTTTTCATGCTTACACGGTATTTGCACGATACCTATGCCTAAAAACCAGTTTAAATATTTTTTGTCTGTCTGTCTGTTTATTCCGGGTAATCTTCAAAACGGCTGGACCGATTTTGATAATATTTTACTTCCAAGTAGCTGTCTATGTAAGGAGTAACTTAAGTTTTTTTCTTTCTCAGAAAAAAACTATAAAATTTTGCCTGGTCGAACTCACAAACCAGCTAGTAAAGAATATGCGTTATGATTGCCTGAATTCCGTGTGACCCCAGGAGTGGGGGAAGTAATTTTTTATTGCAAAATTACATACTTATAGTGATCAAACCTACGTCAAATTGTAGAGTTTAAAGTTAACACTTTAAACTTCAAGAAAAAATATGATTGCCTGGATAAAAAATGGCCCAAATTGAAGCAATCACGAGTTAGAGGTGGCGAGTTTTTATCAATATTACAGATACCCTGAAAAAATTTGCGGTCGCCTCTCGGTCCAATACTTATAAATATTACTAAATACATTCATATTATTGAATAACTACACCCAGACACGGAACAAATGACCGTGCTCAGCACATAATTATTTCGAATGACGGAATCGAACCCACTGTCGACCACAACAACTCGACCTCTGGCTACGCAGTCAGTATCACTAACCACTAGAGTCCATCAGGCCTGTCAAGTTGAGTAAATTGGGCCTTCTGTATACCTCAATCACTCGGTGAAATGGTTCCCTACTTAAAATCAAATGATTATTTTTGTATTCCTTAGAGTATGAAAGAATAATTAAGTCTATCAAACATCACGCTACGACTGTTAGGAACAGAGCAGTCAATAAATGCAGGTGCAACTGTGCGTAAACATCTCTATTTTTAGCATAAATAACTTTCTCAACACGTCACCGGCTATCGATTCCTGTCGATTGACGCGTGGGTGTACGCCTGACGACCGATAACATATTGTCATACTTTTTTCAATGTTCTTCACTACAGTCAACCGATTACATTGCGATTAATTTACTATATTTACCGTCCTTAACTTCATTATTTTGCCGTTTACAGCTTGTAATTTTGAAGCTACAAGTTTATTTATTTATTGAGCCATCCTGCAAACATATTGCATAAGGCGGACTTAATGCCTCAGGCATTTTCTTCATGTCAAACCTTTGGGTGTTGAGAAGCTGTGTGTGGCAGGTGTATTTTTGGGACAGGTAAAGATGAGACTGAATTAAGAAATGTTACAATGGCAAGGAAGAAAGAATCCTACAGATATATATGTCCTAGGCCTCATATATCTGTAGGATATATAAGGCCTGTCCGCGGGATTAAGCCGATTTGATATATTTTGGTGGCAATTAAGTCGAGTTTAAGACGCTCTCTATTGAGATTCAGAGGGAGAAGATGGAAGAAAAGAAAATCTACCAGCAGTATTAAGAAAGATATTCTTGGATTTGATAACTCAATTCTGAATTGACTTTGCAAGTTACTTCTTGCTTCTAAAACTACAATTCTTATAAGTGAAGAAGTAACCAAGAACGCAAATAAAACTGCAAGGAACGAACGAACGAACTTCTACTCCTATAATATGTTACTTACCAGTCGCATTCCTGGGATGTATTGTCAAATATTTGTGTAACTCAGGCGGTACCAGCGCAAGGACTTGTTCCGAAGTATCATTGGCGTTCATCAGCTCTTCTGTAAATAACAAACAAATTAGTCACACAGAAATGAACGACTGTCTATAGCAGGTTACTAAAAGGACAGTCCATAAAAAGAAGTATATGAGAGGACTAAACTAGATTAGGAAAACACAGTTAATATATATATATATATATATTTAAAAAAAATAAAGCTTAACAGGTTCATTCCACAGGAGTTTTTCAATTATTAAAACGACTCATCAGACGGTTGCAGTTGGACGGAGTTTATAGCAATAATTAATACAACAATGCTGATTAAATGCGGTACCACTAGCAGTTTTATAAATACAAAACATTTTAACCATATGCATCTTATTACAAAAATAAACTCAAAGAGCATAAACGACATACTTTGATTTAATATTGCAATTTACAAATTGACCCATGACCTTACGAATATCACATATACCACGACAACAAATAGTGAGATGAAATAACATAAATTTAGACAAGGACTACAAATCATTTGTTGTAGATTTTATACTTATGAATAATTCAAATTAAGTTATTTTCCAAATTTTTAACTACATTTTGTAATCTAATCAAAGTAGCTTTAAGTTTCAATGTAAAACCTACTCTTGTAAGTTTAAAGTAAAAGTTAGATGACACAGTCAGTTATTACTGGTAAAAAATAACTTTGGTTTTAATTACTATTAGAAAAAAAAACAATTAAAAATATTAATATTGTAATAAAGAAACACGACCTAAGGAAGCATTTCTCGCTACTCTAGACCTTACAAAGGCATTCGATAGAGTTAAGCACGGCGTTATATAGCAAATATTTGGTTTAAATTTCAACCTTGGGTCTGTGTTTCAAACATTTAAGTCGGTATCGGATGAATATTGGATTTTTGTTGAATTCATATATTCGTATTCAAATCAGTTAACTGTTAGCCGTAGGATGCCACAAGGGTCAGTACTATAACCAACTTTTGCCGAGAATGCAAAAATATATTAATGTTCTATATTTTTTGATATTAACCAACTTGTATAAACGATTTAAAACGAAATTGATTAGTTATAGATCCGTTAAAAATAACCTATAAATAGGTCTTATAACCTTCGAGACTCTTTCAATTTCTTGGTACAGAGGTAAGAAACTGATTCAAACAATGGCACATAGTGACCTCTTAGTACCTATCTTAGATATTAAGTGTTTTTATAGGTATTATGCACACCAATAAATATTTGATTGATTGAAGATGAGACAACGCGTAACCCTGACTGCACATAAATAATAAAAGCACTTAAAATAGACACACACAATAGCTAGTTGGCGTTCAAAGGCAAAATGTACTTTAAGCTCAACTAAACAGTAAATTTAAAAAAGAAGTGTGTGTGAGCAATCCACACACGGCAGAAGTGAAACTTCAGAAGAAATATATTTACACAATATACACACAAATAACTTACTAATGTTGATAAATTTAATTTTAGATAATTTATTTAAATAAAAATTATTGGTCAAATTATCACAGATGTGTTAAATAATTAACATTAATTAATTAACCAACGAATTTTAATATGCAAATGCAAACATACACCACGTTGTATATGACACAATTTTTGGAAGGCTTCGTTGTACGCAGTCGCAAAGACACGTGATAGCAAAGAGGAAACGAAGATTACAGAAAACACTCCATACTTGTAATCTATCTCATTCTCTCGCAGGCTAAATTCTATTTATGATTATGTTTGTCTCTTTTTACTGTAGCTTTATCGATTCATCGATTTTTTAAATCACAACGGTGCTAAAGAAGTTTCACTTAAAAAGTACAGGGGAATCACATAATACACACGACATGATTTTCTTTTTAAAATTGGATAACCAAATCTGATAAAAAATAAAGCCAAAGACAATAATAAATATTGGTTTTAAAAATAAATACTTTATAGAATGAGTGTGTGAACATAGTATTTTAAATGTGGGGATAGGTCCTTGCTAAAAAAGAAAAAAAAACACAAGTATTTACTTAAAAACCAAAATTTACTGTTTCAAGGAACCGTAGCTTACATTCACAGGATTAAAAGCGCAGTATAGCGTTAGCGAACACATGGTCGAAATTTAGAAAAAAAAAATCTACAACCTTTATAATATGGCAATACTAAAAGCGACGAAGAATCAGTGTTACGTGGGTTAGTATCTGAAAAAAATAAAGAAAATTAAAAAAAAGAGTTATTAGTCGGTGGTGAAGGTTTTAGGTGTTGGTGCAGAAATTTTAGAAATCTGTGCCCTTATTCATTCCATAGGGTTGTCGATTTTGGTTTTAATTTATTTTATAGCCAGACATAAATATTTTTTATTAAGTAGGTAGGTCTTGTTAAAGTGTACTTTCAAACTTCAGTAGTATAAAAATAATAACCATATTTAAAAAAAAACAAGACACTAGAACAACAAAGATAGGATGATCCAGATTAAAAGACAGCTCATAAAAGTCAAATGAATACATTCATATCTCTATTGCAAGACCTAACATAAGCCGGTCTTATAACAAAAGCTACCCACCAGAAAAGACTCCTGCAAGAAAAACTGATAGGTAATGAAGATTTCACAAAACCCGATCGAATCGATGGAACCTCCATCGGCGATGGCGCTTCCAATCCATTGTCTTTACAGCTAGTGGTTAGAGCAACCCAATCCCAAGCAAATTTGTCATTAATATTTTATCTTTAACCCAGTTATAAGCTTTTGAGATAAGTCTGCGTTTCACTTAATGTTTTAATCTATTTATTATAATCGGATTAACTATTTGACATTTTGTTACCTATAGAAATTTAACATTTTCCCTTGAATGAATTTTGTACCTTATGGAGCAGTGTAATAGGCACTATGAGCTTTTAGATAGATAGATAGATAAATACTTTATCTGTACACCAGGGTTTAATAGACATTATAAAGTAATAAACAACAGATGTAATGTACAAAGGACGGCCTTATCGCTTAGTGCAATTTGCAAGACAGCAGTCGCATACGCTACTATTGCACCAACGAGGCAGTCAAAAAGACTCTGTAAAAGAAGATTATTGGGATAACACTTCGTGTGATCCACAAATTGCTGTTCTGAGACAACTCCCGCACTAGGAATAAATCCTGTTTCGCAGGGAACTTTACAAATATACATGAAACGGTCATAAAATACACCCAGACTCAGAACAACAATTTGTGGATCACACAAAGTGTCGTCCCATGTGGGATCGGACCCACAACACTCAGTGTAGTAATAAGCGGCGTGACGACCGTTTTAACCACTACGCCAACCGTGCAGTCGTATATCCATATATATTCCAAATGTGGGAGTTATCTTTTTAAAAAAATATGTAAAACAATTTGTAAGTATACGCAAAGTCTTTGGTGGCCAGGTGGAGTGACGGTTTGGATGGCTGGCAGGAGCTGGACGTGAGAAGCCCAAAATCGATCTAAGTGGCGTGCAATGGGAGAGCAGTGGACTCCGATAGGCTGATGATGATGATGACACAAAGTATTTTAAGACGTACAATTTTAAAATAAAACATATTAATTGAATTGTACAACAGCTTGCCAAAAGATAAGCTTTATTTGCTTAATTACTTAATACTATTTACACAGTGATAACCATAGATCAGTCATACCATAGATAAAATTTTATTAATGGAAATGTCATATTCACAAATGTCATTTGTTTTGAACATCCTGTTTCCGGTGGAGCCTCTAGTTGTTTCATACTGTTTTTGGCGCGTTACAAGCGGGATGGGAGCGAGACCGAAAAACGTGTAACAAGACTTTTTTGCGACACTTGCTATACGTCTACCAAAAAGCAAACATAACTTCTTTCTGACCGGGGGTCCTCACGCCGTTTTTTCATGGTAAAGTCTGTTGTAGAAGAGAGTTTCCTTTGTGTTACTTCCTCCCCCCCTCCCTCAAGCAGTATATACATGAAGTATTAATAAAATCTTATCACTCGGCTAGAGGGGTCAAATCCGGGCAGTTGGCAGTTGGGCAATAAGGGATGAGGATATCACAGCATGTATGTTTAAAAAAACACACTAAAAATATAAAAGTGCGACACATAAAGAAAACCGAGGGACCATTATTTACAGAGTGTTACACACTGAAATTAAAAGAAAAAAAAACATACGATGTTTTTTATTTATTTTTATCATCATCCCTTGCAGGTTTACTGGTAGTATCCATCTTAACTTTTTAAGTACTGTAATAAATATAATAATAACATTAGATGCGAAAAAAATAATTAAAGCTAAATTTTAATTGTGGTCTGGCAATACTGTGCTGACGACAGCCAGTAAGATGTATGCGACTTGAGCTATGTACGCTCCTTAATCCATCCATGTAGGCTATAAGCATGCCTTTCATGTGTACCTTCTCTTCTTACGTGCCTGACAATAAGGGTTCCGGCAACTCCGACCGCGGTTTCAGTTTATTTATAATTTTTCAAAAGACAACTCCCGCACTAGGAACATATCCTGTGACTTCACATACACACATGAAACGGACACAAACAACAACCACTCTCAGAACAATAATTTGTAGATCACACAAAGTGTTGTCCCATGTGGGGATCAATTCCACAACAGTCAGCGCAGTAGGAAGCGGTGAGGTGACCGCTTACACCACTACGCCATCTGTGCAGTCAATTGGCTTGAACAATAGATTTTTTATTCTGGTAGTCCCCGTCGCAGGCATAAAATTATTAAAATTAAATGGATCTGGCAGCTCGGACCACGGTCCGAGTTAATTGCGGTCCGAGTCGCCAGAAACATCCTTGACAATTTTATGGCACAAATGGGCCGGCTCGGGAGTGATATTACGGTCTCACGGAAAACCGCTGTTAAACAATTAATTTTTGGGTTTTACCGGGTACACAAAATCGGTTCAGTAGTTTTCTGTAGACTTATTTTATGTTTTTAATTTACTTAGTTCTAAGATTTATGACTTTACATTTACATTATAATAGTGTAACCCTAATAATGACAGTTAAAAATAACAATTAATTCTAAAGAACCCTTTTCAAATTGACCTTGAACACGCAGACGCCCTAAGTAACAAGTAAAAACAAGTAATTGCTAATAACCTAGCAGCAGCTAGACCTAACCTCTAAAATTCAAATGACAATCTATACAAATAAATAAAATTGAAGTGTCCAAGTTCATGTTCAAGTGACCATCGCCGCCCATGAACGTCTGCAACACAGGAGTCACAAACGTGTTGCCGGCCTTTTAGGAAGGAGTGCGCTCTTTTCTTGAAGGTTTGAAGGTCGTCATCATCATCAACAGCCTATAATAGTCCACTGCTGGACATAGGCCTCTCCTTAGAAAGGAGGTTTTGGCCTACTATACCACGCTGGCCAGACGGGTTGGTATAGGGTTTGTTTCAAGTTTTCCTTCTTTTTGCAGTGTCCTGTGCAGTTTGTTGCGAACGTCGTATCGGTCCGGCAATACCACAGACGATAAAATTTTCAATACTTCGAATAAATTGCTAACATTGATATTCTAATTCAGTTAGTATAATATTCTGTAACACAGATATATATTCAAAATCTATAAGTAACGTTTAATGTTATTCTTGGGGTTAGGTTAAAAGAGTGACGATTAACGCCAGATACTCTCTGATATTGGTGAACCATTTGATTCTGAAATTAAACTCCGACAAACAACAAGAAGAGCACGAAATCCAACGTGAACGTATGTACCCAAAAGAGGAAACTTGTCATTCCGAATATCACGAGCTACTTCGGTAAACGAACAAGAAGTTATAGGGTACCGTTTCTACTCAATGAATTGCCTTCAGATTTTGTAAAACAAGTAAATTTAAAAATTTCAATTTAAAAATAAATTCCACTAACATTGGTGCTGATTCTATTGTTCGAAAACTCTCTAAACTTAACTAAAAATCACAAAAAAAAAGACGCGTGGCACTCGGGGACTGCCGCGGTAAAGCTATTGCATAGCATTTTTTATCAACTTATGCAATTTTAATTATTTATTTATTTTATTTATGCAGTATTTTTTTCCTTTGTTTTTTTTTTCTTTGATATTAATTCAAGTTACACTTTTTGAGCGTGGTGACCGATAAGAAAACAATTTTTTTTCTTTTATTAAATAAATGAGAAGTTAATATTGTTCAAAATATTTTAATTATCTAACAATACATGTAAGTTATTCAGGAATATTTATTCACAACCAATGCCACCTAGAGGCGAGTTGCTGAACTAAAGAGACAAGCGTGATATTTCAAAAAAGTCATTAAAAATTCTGCTATTCATCGATAGATGGCAAAACTAAAAAGTAGGTGTTAGGTTATTTTCGTTACGGAATTTCTGGATTCGGTCTCCACGCTCAAGGCCCGCGATAGAAGCTATGCAATAGCTTAAAAAATTGACCTGTCTAATATTACATTTTCAGAATAGAAAACGTTGTTTGACAGAACTAAACAAATTTTTAGTGATTTTTAGTTTAGTTTAGAGAGTTTTCGAACAACAGAATTAGCACCATTATCTCTCGTTATGTCCATAACTCATAGCTAATACCCGCATTGCCTTTTCCTTTCCTTTAACACATAGTCAACTAGTGTACTTGACACAATAATGTTAAATGTTGTATTAAAATACCTACATACATACATATTACTATGTATCCTTAAACGAGAACTTCTGGCGACAAACTGTTTTTAAACATGAAAAATATGTATTATAAATGTTTAATAAATAGAAAAATAAATATCGCTGCCTAATGAGTCGGCGACAGAATGTTTCATTTCGTCAAATACGAACGCGTCGTCACATGTTTGTCAGTTTAATTTCAGAATCAATCATTTGGGTTAGGTTACGTTAGAACTCTGACGTCCAGAAGGCGATAACTACCTGGACCCCCCCTAAAATAGAAGCGTAAAGAGGGCACACCGTGTGGTTTTAGTCGGTTCGAGTCCGACACACCGAGTATTGAGTCGGTGACGGTCCGAGGGGATATCCACACGTAAAAAAAAAAAAGGCCATTAAAGCGCCGCCGAGCGCCAGACTCGCTCTATTGTTGCCAATTATCATTAAGTCAGACTTTTTGTTCGGTATTTTGAAACTCGGTATTATGAGCAAAGTAATTAGAAACGTTAGGAATATCTTCTAATATATAAAATTCTCGTGTCACGGTGTGCGTGATTGAACACATCCGAAACGGTTCGACCGATTTTCGTGAAATTTTGTGTGCATATCGGGTAGGTCTGAGAATCGGCCAACAATAATGAATGGACTAAAATGGGAATTAATACGTTCATAAATAAAATAAATAATGCGTTCCAGGTTACTTTTAGAAAGAGAAGACGTAATATAATGCTTAACAAAAATAACATGAACATAAACTGGACTACTAAAGGTATAAAAATTTCAAGTAAGATGAAAAGATTCTTGTGTGTAAATAGTGGTAATAATCTTGATAGTAGTTTAATTTCATATAAAAATAATTATGTGAAACTATTTAGGAAGGTCGTGAGAAATGCTAAGCGAAATGCGGTATCAAAACAAATAAATAACGCCAAAAATAACAGTAAACAAATATGGCAAGTTGTAAATCGACATAGAAATAAAAATAATAATAAAGTTATGAAAAAGCTAATTATAAAAACCAATGAGAAAATAGTTGACAATCCTAAAGAATTGGCAAACTTATTCGCCAGGCAATTTAATTATACACCCACGTTAGAAAATAGTAATCAAAATCAGGCAAGATTTTACCTTCAACAAGGCTCTGATAAGGTAACTAATGAGATGACGTTAACTGCTGTTACACCTGATGAAGTCATAAAGATTGTAAATGATATGCAGAATAAAAATTCTTGTGGCTTTGATGAATTGCCAATATCGGTAGTAAAGGAGCATATCGCGATCTTAGCTTTACCTCTGTCTCATTTTTATAATAAATGCTTTGAAAATAGCATCTTCCCAGAACAATGGAAAATAGCAAAGATTATACCATTGTACAAAAAGGGCTTACAAACCGACCCTAAAAATTACAGACCGATTTCTGTGTTACCTACACTCTCGAAAATATTTGAAAAGCTAATTAAAAGCCGTCTCACTAGCCATCTGAATAATAACATAGTTTTAAATCGGCGACAATTTGGATATCAAAAAAGTATCGGTACGACAGATGCTATCAATACCTTAATTAATGATGTCATAGAAAATATTAACAAAAAAGTCAAGGTGGCTGGGATCTTTCTGGATTTGAGTTCCGCTTTTGACACAGTGGATTATGAACTGCTTTTCATTAAAATGGAACATTATGGAATAAGGGGCAATGTTTTAAAGTTATTTAAATCATATTTAAAAAATAGAAAGTTTTATGTAGAAATTAAGGAGGTAGGAGAAAACAATTGTCAAGAAGTACACCGATCACAACTTTTAAATGTCAGGAAGGGCGTACCGCAAGGTTCCATATTAGGGCCTATTTTGTTTACACTTTTTACAAATGACTTACTATCCTATTTGAGCGTAAAAAAGCCAGATGTTAAACTCACGGTTTTTGCAGATGATACAAACGCTGTGATTAGTGCAAGTAACCTAAGTTCCTTAAATGTAAAAATAATTGGCGCACTAGAAACTTTTCAAGATTGGTTTGCAGTTAACAAGCTTACAGTTAACACAAAAAAGACAAACCTAATCTTATTTAAATCGACAGCTAGTAATAACGATAGATTAGACGTTATGATTAATGGAGAGAGATTAGAATTCGTGAATTCTGTTAAATTCTTGGGGGTTCATATTGATGCATTGCTCAATTGGAAAGAAGAGATAAAATCTATTGACACCTCAATCTCTTCAGCATGCTATGCAATTAGGAGCCTTCGAGAAGTAGTAGAAATAAATATCCTAAAATCCGTTTACCATGCGCTAATAGAGTCAAAGTTCAGATATAGTATACAACTGTGGGGAAATAGTTACGCTTATAATATAGAGAGGGCGTTCATTTTACAAAAAAGAGCTATAAGAACTATAGTCCGCATTCCCCAAATAGAATCATGTCGAGAACATTTTAAAAGTCTTGGACTATTGACGGTGCCTTGTTTGTATATATTGACAACATTGTGTTACTTATCCAAATATATGCACGAGGTTGAAACCCACGAAGAGAGGTTAGTTAGAGAGAGCACGCGGAGGAAACATATTCAACATACAATAAACCCTAGAATAAATATAGCTCGGCACTGTGTTCAGTATCAATCTATTAAACTTTTTAACTGTTTACCGGAAAGCATAAAAAGCGTAATTTATAGGACTTCTTTATTTAAACAAAAACTTGGAGCCTTCCTGTTGGAAAATAACTATTATTCCATCAATGAATTTATTTATCAAAATATATGCAATTAAATACTTAATAACTTATGTAATAATAATAAATATTGTGAATAATATTCTTGAATCATGAAATGACTTAATATAATTTATCGTTTTTTTTTGTATTCTGCATGACATATTGTAAAATCTATCAAATTTATTTGTTTTTTGATTATTATGTTATTTATATTTTTGTTTTAATTTTTAAATATTTTTGTATTACGGCGAATTGTTATACATTCAAACACAATTATATTATTGTTTGTGAATAAATGAACTATGAACTATGAACTATGAACATCTATTTTTCATACACCTTTTTTTTGTCAATTTTTTTTTAAATAATGTATATGGCAAATCAACATTTGCCGGGTCATCTAGTTGAATTATAAAAATAGAATGAATCAAGAGTTGTTATTTTCGGCATTTCGAACCATTCGGAATTATGAAAATCGGTATTTTGAAGTTCGTATTTGTGTCTGACGGAATAGTTTTTCGTATTTTTGTAGTGTACCCAGTTGAAATGCTGGTACGAATGGAAAATTCTATTAGTGTTTGGCTATTCATTTATCGGGGAAGTCTATATAGCGTCACGCCTTCCAAGGGAAAAACCAACCACTACTTGTTTTATTTTTCCTCATTCTTTCTCAAAAGGCAGCAACGTAATTATAACTCTTGAGTTGCAGGTGTCTATGGGATACGGTAGTCACTTACCATCAGGTGACCAGCTGCTAATTTACTCCCAAAATCATAAAAAAAATATAGATTTTATTATATGGTGACTCAATAGTCACGTTCATATCTGTCAAAGTCAAATAGCGCGCCAAATTTAATTGTCAAGAGATAATAAAAAAGAAACACATTTTGTTCTAAATCCAAATACATAATTCTTTTTAAACACAAACTGGTTTCTATAGCGTGTTGTATTCGACAAATAACGCAGTTTTGTAAAACAAGGCAACTCAACGTTAATTTAAATTGATGTAGTCGCTACGATAACATTAATTACGAGTACAATTCACATAATACATACGAGTACAAAATGCATAATCAGCTCTACACTTGTAAATTACTATAAGTACACTACAATAAATACTTATTTAAGAATTAGCAACTTAAAAAAAATAGTGTAAAAAAACTAAAAAAAAAAAAAAAAATATATAGTTTTAAAAAACTAAAAACACGCTTTCTATTGCGTTGGGTGCCTGTTGTCAATTGTAAAAAGCACCCCACGCTTTTTTTCAAATTTATTTTCCATTTTTTAGTTTGGTTTTCTATAGAAAGCGTGTTTTTTAGTTATTTAAAACTATTTTTTTTTTTTTTAAATTGTCCTCGATATATCTACAAAGTTTGAACGAATTCTGATCGTTTAAAGTCAGTCAAAATCACGCCCAAAGGAGTCGGTTACAATCATACAAACAAACATACAAGTGAAGCTAATATAAAGCGTGTAAAAATGATTATAATGGCATTTTGAACACGCTTTTTTTGTAGTTTGGTTTGTATCTATGTAACGGAATCTTTGAACGTGATTTTCACCTACTCCATACGTCGGATTAACTTAAAACTTTGCACAGTTATCAAGTACCTATGGCAATAATCATCAGCCTATCGTAGTCCACTGATGGACATTGATCTCTCCCTTTCTCTCTTCAATGGGAGATGACAATAAAAGAATTTAATAAATTTTGCCGATTACCTTGATTAGGATTAACGCTTTTTTTCCATATCTAAAAATACGGTAGTGTTTTGTGCCACGTACCATGGCGTGTACTGAAGCATATGTGTCTTACTTACTTGATTAATGACTAATTTATTTAAATAATAGTTTGAAAACTAAAAATAAAACACGTTTTTGTAACAAGCCGAAATAAAAAGTCTAAAATATGGTGAGGTTGGTAAAGTCTACCTTCCCGTATAGGCGAAAACCGATTGAATATCTCAGCTATTCTTAATATAAAAGCTGACATAATAAATTGCAGTTATAACTACCGCCATGGCGATAAATTTTTAAATACGTCACTGGTCCGACATCTGAAACCAATCTACCATCTTGATCTTTGGATTCCACTAGTAGTAGGTTTATCCGTGTGGTGACGGATTAAGAATACAGAGGGTGACCACCCCTATTCATCCCGAGGGTATCGTAGGAGCCGACTAAGGCAGTAAACTACGCAGAACAACCACACTGCAAAGAGAAGAAAAACTTGAAACAAACCCTATACCAACCCGTCTGGCCAGCGTGGTATAGTAGGCCAAAACCTCCTTTCTGAGGAGAGGCCTACGTCCAGCAGTGGACTAGTAAAGGCTGTTGATGATGATGAGTAGTAGAAAGGAGGCTTTTGCCTATAATATCCATAGAGATAATTTACAGATAGAGGAGAGAAGCGAGCTAAGATCCGGGAAAGAAGACGGCGATTTAAATGCGTCTCTCTCGCACCTATTCGTTGATTTGTTGGCCGTCTTCTTTCTCTTTCACTTAGAGGCACTCAAATACCTTCTCGCCTCTATCTGTATTATTTTTATTACAATACCACGCTGGCCAGACGGGTTGGCATAAGGTTTGTTCAAAGTTTTCCTTCTCTTTGCAGTGCTGTTGTCCTTTCACTACACCGATAATCGACTCGATTTTACAGGTATTACTTAGGAAAGACCTACCTCCATCTCTATACATTCCTCCGCCAGACGCTGTGAGCATAATTTGCAGCCATAGACAAAATAGTCCAAGTATGACGAACACTCTTGCCACTGATGCATATTTTAATCGTGGCATTTCGTATTATCTCCCAATAGATGGCGCCAGTTGCATCTTAATGAGTAGCTGTTACAGCAGGGGGCCGGTAGATGGCGTTCTTCAGTGTCAGCTCACGTCATTGTTGTGCGAGATTCTGTAAAAAGAAAAAGTAATGTTAAATTTAACTAATGAACTCTATGGAGTATAAAATGTAAAGAGGGTCATCGCCGTTTTTGAAACGATGTTTCTTATCGCGCGTAACACGCTTTGAGCGATTGGGAGCGAGAGCAATCAATGTGTAACAAGACTTTTTTCCGACACTTCAGTCCCGTCGACGGTCACACTTTTTTATTATTTTTACCACCAATTTATTTCATATATATAGCAAACGTCTACTAAAAAGCGAAAGGAACTTAGTTCCACCGGGAGTCTTTAGACCCCTCACGCTGTTTTTTTTCATAGTAAAGGGAACCAAACGAGCAGACGGGTCACCAGATGGTAAGTGACAACCTTCATCCATGGACACCTGGGCACCCATGACATCATGGACCAGGTCGTATAGACACATGGACACCCATAGGCCTATATGAATCTCAGTTAAGATACAAAATTATAATAATATCTCACACATCTCACACACGGCCGTCTGATCCCAAATTGGGCAGAGCCTGTACTATGGTAACCAGACTGCTGATAAACATATTTATATATTTCCGAATACATACATATTTTAGACAAACTACACCCAGACCCAGAACAAATGATCGTGCTCATCACACAATATCCTGGGTGGTCGAACCCACTACCTTTGGCTTGGTAGTCAGGGTCACTAACCACTAGACCAACAGGCCTTGATTGTTCAGGAATTCGTAATTCATTGATCCCGTAAACCAGGGATTCCCAAAGTGGTCGATATCGACCCCTTGGGGTCTAAATCGGTTTCCCAGTGGCCGACATAAACATAAAATATTTCGGGGGTTGACGAGGTCTTATTTGAAACTTTCAAGATACTTTATAAGTTGTGTAACGTCTACCATATCGTTATAACACTGACTAATGTGTTTATTTATTTTGTTAAATTTGTTGAGGAATTGCTGTCAAGTTCACAAACGGCAAAGTTTTTAAATAGGTAAATATTTTGTTACCAATAGGAAAAAAACTAGAGATTGGATTTTTAAAGTATTTTGACTATCTGAGGTTTCAGTTTCATTTCTTTTTTAATTTCGTAAAAGGGGTCTCTTGCCTAAAATAGTTTGGGAGTCCCTGCCGTACACCAATAGCATAATCGGAGCATTTTTTTCGCAATTCTTATCACTATATCTTATTGTATCGTATCTATCGATTTTAGACAGATTGACAGACAGATAAAATTTTATACATTACAAAAGATACAGGTTGGTATAATTACCGATACCGACACCGATAGCTGTAAACCATACTTTAGAGAACACAACATTCTAACACTGCCATCAATTTATATTTTGGAAATATGTCAATCCGTATGAAAAAATCAACATCTGTTTACAAAAAGAGAGGATAAACAAAAAAACTACACACTACGCCATAGGACTGGACTAAACCTACCCTCATCCCGACTCCAAATCCATTCAAATAGCACTCAAGTAATGTCAATCAAAATTTACAATAAATTACTCGAAGGAATTAGAAATGAAACCATGTTAAATATATATTTAAATAAATTAAAACAATTATTACTACAAAAATGCTATTACAGCGACAATGAATATTTGAGCAATCAATAAATTAAGGATGTACATAAAAAACTGAAGTATGATTATTGTTATTAGTTTGTATTATCTCTCCCTCTCTCATCTATTGCTGTGCCAGACAGGGTCCATGATGATCTGATCTTATATTTGAGTACCATCTAAGTAAACATTGTGGAATGCAATAAATATATTGAGTATTATTCCGACAGAAATAAAATCGCTAAATATGTCGTCTGAAAGTGCATAACTCAGGATTTTTTTTTCTACATATAAAATTACATGCCCTGACTGTCTAGCTGGTTCATCAACGCAGAACCTAAACCGCTGGGGCTACAAGTCTGGAGTCTCAGAACTTGACATTATTGCAGCTGATGCTTTTTATGTTGTCCCAGTGGGTGACAGGATTTTGCCCCTTTAACGGGGTAAATCAAGGGATCGACGGTTATATGGAAATTCGTCATTTTCAAATTAGAAATAATCACGAGATCGAAGTCAAGAAGAAAGAATAAACATTTTATTAACTATATTTAAAAAGTGCGTGTGTCAGCTCCGATACACGACTGGAGTTTACTCGTTAAGAACGATTCGGCTGCACACAAGTATACAGGGTATACATACACATTTAAAAGGTGCGCACGATAGGTTGCCCACAAAAAACGTAACGAGGTCATTCGATCACAAAATTTTACTCTTCAAATTCTTTTGATACCGGGCACCTTGTATGAAAATCGATTAATAAGGAGTAAACTGCAAAAAACATCCTTGTTCTATCTACTTATTTCTATTCTATTATTGATTTTATTTATTTATTAGTTGTAGCCTGCCACGCCTCGCTGTGGCACACTGCGGTTGCATTGATGAGAAATGAAAAATTAAACTGTCGCGAAAAATAGATGAAATTTTTTTTTAAGCGTTTTTGAAATATATAATTGAGCTCAATCACTGCAGAACTTTTTGAGTTTTTAAATACACAAACTCAATACGTACGTTTTTATAGTTCATCATCCCAACTCGACCTGCACACAAAATTACCATATAATTGGAGAAATACTGCTTTAAAATCTGTTCTAGATTGGACCACACATTCATACAAACATTGTAAGTTAAATAAAACCTTGTAAAAAGAACCTACAATCTTCCAATCTCACAAAATCTACGAATCAGAATAAAATTCCACAGATAACGAATATTTTTGACTCCGAAATCCACGTGCTGATAAATTGTTCTTTATCAGAGTAACAGATAAATCAAAATCAAACTATCGTATTTGATCTGTAAATATCCTGATTTGATCGGCACTGAGACTAAGTATTTCAAGGTTAAATGATAAGTCAAGAATTTTCCATGGAACCGACGTGAATGTTGCGGTAGGGGATAGGATGGCGGCCTGATTGCATTAAGACGAAATTGGGCCGCCACGTCGCGATTGAGGGGGGAAGTGATTTTCCCCTGGGATAGGGCCTGAATAGGCATGGTGTCCATTCGGGGAGGACCTGAAATAACATGGTCCAGGTCCTCCCAGAGTAGGGCACCTGAGGCCGGCCGTCGGGGTGGGTTTTAGTGGAATCACCACATACTCCTAGCTCCTAGCCCCGAGGAGTAGTTGAAGCCCTATAAATGTCCGATCACAGTCTTTCTACAACACTTAGATATCGCCTAGTACTTGGCTTGTGTAGATCTGATGGCAGTCGCTAAAAAATTGAATATTCTAAATCCGTCACCACACGGACGCCGTCACCACACGGACGGTCATAATATGTTTAGTGTTTATTATATGTATAGGTTTATTGATCTAGTGGTTTGTGATCCTCACTGATAAGCCCGAGGTCGTGGCTTCGATTCCAAACCAGGACAAACATAGGGTCACGATCCTTTGTTCTGTAACTGCCAGTAATCTATACAAATAAATAAAATTGGAGTATCTGTTTGTAATATTAAAATAAACGCTTTTTACTAAATGCATATGTACCTACGAGTATGTTTACAAGGTACATATGCCAAAATTTTTTTTTTTTCAAATTTTGTCTGTCTGTCTGTCTGTTTGTTCCGGGTAATCTCTGTAACGGCTGGACCCGTTTCGATGGGACTTTCCCTCACAGATAGCTGATGACATAAGGAGTAACTTAGGCTACTTTTTACGCCGCGGGGCGAAGCTAGGGACGGGACGGACGACTTGTCCTGAGTCATTGATTCATCAATCTCTGCATTGATATTTATTGACCATATTTATATGTATATATTTATATTAATAAAAAGCGGTTATTTTAATATTACAAACAGAGACGCTCCAATTTAATTTATTTGTATAGAGTATAGATTCCTTCTAATTATTACAAAATGCGAATTGTTCGTTTGTTTCACTTCAACGTATCAACTACTTAACGGTGGTTAGGCGTAGGTACTACAGATCTGAGGGCCAAGTGAGAGTTTATTTCACTTCTACTCTATCGTCACGGTGACCGCGTTCGGAGCTACGATTGGCCCGTACTGAAATCTCCACCAATCGCATCGCTAAACGCACTCGCCGTCGACAGTGAGTCGATGTGAAATAAACTTGCACTAGGCCCTCAGGCGTTTGTTCGGCCTCCGGTAAACTCCGTCACTCGCTTAATAGCAACGCAATAGTTACTAACACCGGTCTTCTGTGAGGCCAAATGGCCTGGCAACAGCGTGGCTTTCCCTCGGCAAAATCTCGGTTGAAAATCTGCCTGGTACTTTAGGAGCTGGAAAAGGCCTGGATCAAATACCTGTACCAGCAGTGCTATTAGTGCAGCGCAGTGTGGAAAGCCCATCGGGCCGTCACCCCGCCAGGGTTTGCGGCGTGGGGGTGTGTGGGAATTGAACCGACGAAACACGGTGTGCCACTCCGCGCCTGAGATAGAAGGGATCCGGGAACAGTTGATATTAAGACATCCGGACACCTCCCAGCGCCTGCCCGCAACCACCTTTGGGTAAACTCTTTATTTAGGTGACTTCCGGCACACGCGGACGTCGCCTCCTCGCGGCTGGCCACTATATCGGATGGAGGAGAAAACCCGTCCCGTCTACCCACGGCCCACGGTTAAGAGCGCCTACGCCGCCCGGTTCACCGGCAGCGAATTGGGTCCGAGTTGAGGTCATCCTCCCAGGCCCTCGCCGCCGCCTCCTTCAGCGCTGTAGCGTCGAATTTCAAACGAACTTAGATTGAAGTCCGAAGATACAGCGCTTCCCTGTTCCCTTAGAGAGCTGCAGATCTGGCCTGATTTCCCAGCAACTGGGACAGGGACGTAGTAGTTGAAACATTTATTATCTGCCATAACGATAATTGTA